ATATTGTTGAAAGTTAATTAGAAAATTAGATATATTCCGGAATACTTATTTTGAATTTGCCTCAAAGGCATCGATTAGTCAATGTTTTCTTAAAAAAAAAAAACAAAAAAATATTTATGTCATTTCTTCACGTATGCTAATTCTGAAAGGTTTTTGTAGTTTTCTGTGCCCACGATGCATTTTACATTTGTTATTTAAATATTGTATGTTTGTTTCTTTGATATTATATATATATATATATATATATATATATATATATATATAATATGTAACAAAATCGAAACCGTTACGTTCTTGAGACCAGAAATAGAGACGTCTGTGTGCCTTCTACGTGACGTAATAGCTATGTTTGACGTAACTTCTTGACGTTACGTTATATTAACGTTTAATTACGTTTTGTTGTTTACTGGGATACAAGTAGGATGACTTAATAGGCTGGATGACTTATCTTATTTAATTTTGTGTTCTTTACCGCCGAGTCGTGCATCAGATAACACGGGCTTCTTATACTGTATATTTTAGTGATCTTTATATCTAATAAAGATATAAAATTGTTACAATGATGATAAGATAAACCGAGTCTCGAAACGTTTATAAAATGAAGAATACTTGATAAATAATGTGAAAAAGTGTTGTGTGTTCATATTTCATAATTAATTTATCTATATATATATATATATATATATATATATATATATTATATATATATACGCACACTTTATTTAATAAATTACACACGTTTCAAGACCATGGCCATATTCAGTGTAATTTCTAAACAATAAAAATTATATACTAATACGTTATTTAATATTTTATTCAAATTGGCACTACTTTCTCTTTCAATGCTTGACACTGTACTAAATTTGCAAATATATAAAGAAATATTTGAAAGCAAATCATTATAATAATAGCCATCCTTGATCTTCGACACTTAGGTTTGTTTTCAAATATTTCTGTATATATTCACATGTTTAGTACTGTGTCAAGCATTATAAGAGATAGTTGGTGTTTTTTGTTTTCCAAAAATTAAATATAATTTAAATAAACTATTAAATAATGTATTGGTTATTTGAAATTACACTGAAGATGAGGCATTCCATGGTATACCATGGTCTCAAAACGTCTGTAATTATTAAGTAAAGTGTGTGTAAAAATCTGAGTGTTGTTCATATTTAACATTTAATATATATATATATATATATATATATATTTATATACATATATAATATTATAATTAGTATCGCTATGATTTCAACATATTTTCACTAACATTAATATCTATATAAAATAATACATATTCATCTGTTTAATACGTTAACACCTTATATCCATAAATTTCTATAAATATTTTTAAACTGCTGAGAAAAACGATTAATGAATATCATAAGTCTTTATTTATTTTTTATTTATTTTCTAAAATTTCTTTTTTAATTTATTATTTATTTGCTAAAGTTATTCTATTTGACACGAGTGTATGAACTTTCGATAAGAATGAAAATTATATAAAAGAATAATCAAAAAACTAAATTCATTTGTATAGTTCTTAACGTGCTATAATTATTTTCTATTTTATTATGAATTTTGATATTTATTAATCGTATATATGAGTATTTAAGTTTCTTCAAACAAAATATTGTTTGTGTGTATCGAGTGTTTGAGTGAAAGGAATGAATAATGAAATCTATTTTGATCTATTTTGTGTTAAATGTATTTTGTATTAAAAAATTATAAAAATCTTGAACAGAAATGAATATTTGGATGTATAATGATGGAATATATGTATATATATATATATATATATATATTTATATAATAATCTAACACTTATAATATTTACAGTCTTAATCTGGTTATAATTGTATATTTTATTTCAAGAATGTGATATAATTCTTAAGATTGTTTGATAATTCATTCATTCATTATATATATATATATATATATATATATATATATATATATATATATATATATATATATATATATATGATAGTTTTGTCGACGTTGATGCATATTTGTAATATTTTTGCAGCCCAATCGCCGAATAAAAAAAAGATTAAATAACAAAATTATTTATTCCATTAAACGTTTTGACACTTGATGTGTGTCATCATTCAGTGCTCTAAAAAACATATAACAAATACAAAGTTGATGATAAATATAAATATATAAAAAAAGGAGGAAATTATACATACCAAACCAGGAAAAACAACAGAAAAAATTAATTATGATGTAAAATTGATTGAACACTAAATTTGTGTAAAATAATAATATACTATTATATTATATACTATTATATTATATACTATTATATTATATACTATTATATTATACTATATATTAACAAACGAGAAAATTGAAGGAGCACATATTGCCCTTCTATATTTTATGTTATTAATAGCGGTACATTATGGACACTAATCAAGGTTACAACGCAAGTGTAGTGAAAGAGTGGGAGCGGGTTTTTTATATATTTATATTTATCATCAACTTTGTATTTATGTTATATGTTTTTTAGATTACTGAATGATGACACACATCAAGTGTCGAAACGTTTAAATAATGTTGTTATTTAATCTTTTTTTTATTCGACGATTGGGCTGCAAAAATATTACAAATATATATATATATATATATATATATATATATATATATATATATACAGGGTATCGCAGACCTCAACGTCAAGTCCAAACAGGGTGATAATATTTAACTTAACTGTCCTGAAATAATTTAGTAAAATATTATCTCATGTTGGTTGAAAATTATGAGCCTTGAAGTGCAACCTAGAGCTTTGGTAAAAATATGTAATTTTTCGGTTATTCTGGTCAATATTTATTAATTTTGTTATTTAAACTTTGGAACAGTAACCGTGCATAACATTTCTAGGACCACAGTAAAAAATAATAACACAATTGCCCCAAGTTTTCAAGAATTAAGACTCTTTGTTGAATGAATGAATGAATTTAAAATTTTCAAATCGTAAGATTCTCCTTTAAAAAAATGTACTAAAGATTCTGGCAGGATAATTGTCTGTATAACCTTAACTGTCCTGTAAAAAATTAGGAAGAAAAATTTATCTCATGTTGTTTTGAAATTATAAGCTTCAAAGTGCAATTTCTGGTGAAATTATGACCATTTGTCGGTTATTGTGCTTAATAATTTAGAGGCCCTCCTTTAAAAAAATCATTAAAGTGTGTTGGCAAGTTTCATCAAAAGTTGGAGCATTTAATCAGGATTGTAAATTGGTAAAATACTTGATAATTTTATTATTGAAAAATTTGAAGTAAAAATTAGAACCTAAAAATGACATGATTTTTGCTTGTACATTTTACACAATTTCTATAACAATTTATAATTTTTTATAGGCAGTACTTTCTAGCAAAGCTATAGGTTGCACTTAAAAGCTCATAATTTTCAAAAACAACGTGAGATAATAAAATATTATACTAATTTTTATCAGGACAGTACTTTTAAACAAGGCTCTATGATGCACTTAAAAGCTCAAAATTTTCAAAACAACGTTGGATAATATTTTTTTCTATTTTTTTCAGGACAGTACTTTTGAACAAAGCTCTAGGTTGCACTTGAAAGCTCATAATTGATAAACAATATTAGACAATATCTTTTTCTTTCTTTTATATCTAATATCTTTTCAATATCTTTAATAATAATATCTTTTATTATATATTTTAAGAATATAAAGATTTTGATAATATCATATTTAGGTTGCACATAAAAGCTCATAATTATCAAACAACTTGTGATAGTATTTTTTCATTTTTTTTTTTTCAGAACAGGTCTATACTATCACTCCATTTCAACTTGACGTTAAGTTCTGGGACACTCCATATATACGACTACTCTTTTTAAATCAATATTCTAGATATCGTCTCCAATGAATCTAATTCTTTCCGTGATAAAAAAAAAAATTCATAAATTTGACAAAATGCTTAAAGCTTAATTTTATAAAAAAACAGATAATAATAAAGTATACGAATTTCTTTGCTCCCAGGAGCTCAAATGCTTCCAAATTGATAAAACAAAATTTTCTGAAAGTTTTAGCTCTTAATATTAACTTTTACATAGTCCGCAATTTAATTAAAAGTTTCGCTTATTTATTAGCAACATATGTCATTAAGTAAATTCTTGCGCCATCTGTGATAGCATTTGTGAACTCAAATATAAAACACTTAACATCTAATTAAATCCATGTGGAGTGTTTAACGAAATATTTATTCATCATGGCATGAAAATTAATTTTGTAGCAAAATATTTATTTAATTGGTGATACTCAAATTATCAGTAATAAATTGCCATCAAAATTACAAAACTATTATCACAGATGGCGCAAGAATTTACTTAATGATATATGTTAAAAAAAATACACAGAACTTTTAATTGAATTGCGGACTATCTAAATGTTAATATTAAGAGCTGAAACATTCATAATTTTTTTTTTTCATTAATTTTAAAGCATTTGAGCCCTTGGGAGCAAAGAAATTTCAAAATGTCCAATTAAAGACCACCCTAATATATATTTTATTATTATCAGTTGAGTATTACTCATCTCGAATAACATTTCTACATCTACTTTTCATTTAATTTATACAAATGCAAATAATCCTATCGTGTTCTAAAATTTAGAGATATGGCCTGAAATTAAGATGGCACAACTCGAATGGTCCACTTAAAAATATTAATTACACAATAAATATTTTCTTTCTACAAAAAAATCAGTATAAACCCTGTCGTATAAAATAAAATATAATATCAATACCTAAATACTATAGAGTATAAATATATTTGGCATAGTTTTTATAATAAAAATAATATAAAGGATGTACTATATATAGTACCAGGTTTAAACTATGATATTAATTTGGGAATAAATAAATGCATTTGAAAGTTACTTCATACTATACATAGTACAACTGGGTAAAAATATACACAATATAAAATAAAACACTTCTAGTTTATTACAAACTAATATTTTTCTTCCTTTAAAACTTTTTCTTCCTCTTACCCTGTCCCTTGCCAGCACTGATGCTACTGACACTGTCCTGGACAACTGAGCCTCCATCTTCCAACCGACTCTTAACTTTATCACAAAGACTTTCCAGGTCCTGGATCGAATAGCTGTAGACCAGTTGCCAGTTGTTGAGGAAATCCCTTTCGGTGATCAGAATCTTCTTCTTTCCTGATGTCTTCGAGTTCTCGTTGGCGATCTTTTGCCTTTTCTGGTTCAGGAAGCGTATTGCATGTCTGAGACACATGGTGGAGTCTTCTTCTTTGTGGGAGACCTGGAAGAGGATAAATGGAGGCGTTATTTGTGTGGATTTAAGTGAAGATTTACACCTGTACCAATGCTGTAATCATACTAAATTTTGATTTCTTTGTAGGATCAAAAATCCACTCATAGTTGATCATTAATCCACTTCACATTTAAAGATAAAAGCTCCTTACTCAAATAAATCCTGATGTGACTATATGAATGCCAAAAAGAATTGGAGTACAAATTGATTCCAATTGCTATTTATATTTTACCAAATGCAGCCATATAAAATGTTAAATTATTTATTGCAACATTTTTATCGCCACTATCCACTGTACGTCCACAAACTCTGTTCACAAACCGTAACTGGTGAAGAAATAGATTATTGTGAGAATCCAGTAATTTCTGCAGGAGATTCTAATACGAGTTTCTCAATATCAGAAGCTGAAACCTGATCAACTTCTTAAGAACAAATTTGGTTAAGAAATCATAAATGGTAAGAATGATTCAACAACCAAACAAATGCATACTACCATTGATGCAGTATGATAGAACTCAAACATTTGGTATCTTACCTTGATCTAACTTTTGTCATCATAACCCAATTGGATTATGATAACTAAAGTTAATGGAGTTAACAGATCTGGAAAAAAAACACTTCATCCATTCGGAGAGACTCCGCGTACTATTTTATTTCACCAGAGAACAGTTTTTAATAAACACATAATTTCCATTTGGTTCAATGACCTCCTTTTACCATCAATTATTCTTTGAGCTGCACAATTTCTTGCTCTTATCAACGCAAATCTTGGTTCTAAGCAGCAAAAAACTGAACCAAGTTAGAGTGAAGGTGGACAGTTTCACCATTCTGCAAACTCCGAAATAGATAGTGATTAGATGTTGCCAGACCAGGAATGCGTGGGGGGAGGAGCAGAGCATCATTGCCAAGCTGCAATAATTTTCCACAAGTTGCCAAAGTTGTACACCTTCTAAACTTGACAACTCTGGCTGATTTTTTTTATTGCGCTATTCAGTTTGTTTAATGACCTCCGTTTGCAATTTTTCTTTCTCTGATCTGCACAATTTCTCGATATCCTGGTTCTATTCAGCAAAAAACTGAACCACCATTCTGCAAGATCCAAAATAGAAAGTGATCAGATGTGCTAGATCAGGAATGCACCATTGCCAGACAATCTGCCTCAATTTCCCGCGAGTTGCCAAAGTTGTACATCTTTTAAATTTGACAACCCTGGATGATTTGTTATAGTGCTATTCAGTTTGTTCAATAACCTCCTTTTGCCATCTATTTTTCTTTGGTTTGTACGATTTCTTGCTCTTACCAGCATAAATCCTGGTTCTAATCAGCAAAAAAACTAAACCAAGTGAGAGTGAAGGCGGTCATCTTTTGTGACAGTTTTACCATTCTGCAAACTCCAAACTAAACAGTGATCAGATATGTCACCAGGATTGGATGAGGATGCGGCGCATCATTGCCAGACAGCTGCAATAATTTATCACGAGTTGCCAAAGTTGTACACCTTATAAACTTGATAATTCTGGCAGATTTTTTTACTGCTTTATCCAGCAAACATTATAATTGATCTTTACCATTCTGCAAACTCCGAAATAGATAGTGGTTAGATGTTGCCAGACCAGGAATGAATGGACGACGAGAAATAATTGCCAGACAACTGCAATAATTTTCACGAGATGCCAAAGTTCTTCACCTTTTAAACTTGACAATTCTGGTTGATTTTTTTACTGCTTTATCCAGTAAACATTATAATAGATCTTTTGGTGGTCGTCATCTCTGACAGTTTTACCGTTCTGCAAACTCCGAAATAGATAGTGATCCGATGTTGTCAGACCAGGAATGCATGGACGACGAGGCATCATGAACAGACAGCTGCAATAATTTTCCACAAGTTGCCAAAGTTGTAAACTAGATTATTCCAACTGATTTTGTTACTGCTTTATCCAGCAAACATTATAATTGATCTTTTGGTGATCATCATTTCTGACAGTTTCACCATTAAGCAAACTCCAAAATAGATAGTGATCAGATGTTGCCAGACCAGGAATGCATGGGGGCGGGACATCATTGCCAGACAGCTGCAATAATTTTCCACGAGTTGCCAAAGTTGTTCACCTTTTAAATTTGACAATTCTGGCTGATTTTTTTACTACTTTATCGAGTAAATATTATAATTGATCTTTTGGTTAATTGAAAGCAGCTTAAGACGCAACACCTTTATAATTCCTGACCAAACTGACAGCATGATCTTTGTTTAGATGCCAAGCTTTCGATGTCATTAACTAACTATGTTACTATACAGGACCCACTTTTATGGGTCGATTCTGCCGCACAACAGATCAATGTTATGGCAAGGCCATGTTACACTCCAACTTCCATACATTGCGCTGAATATATGTAATACATTATACTGAATACTGTCAAAATGCCAGGTATTTGCTGTGCATTCAGGTGTTTTACACATAAACTGCAAAGTCACATGTATGTTATGAAGCTGGGTCAGAAAGACCCTGTTCTCTAAGATCGTTTTTTTGATCTTTGTGCGGTTTCTGGTTTAGGTTTTTTATCTGACAACCTGAGAAAAACGCCTGCCTGCACAAAAACCACATGGCTTTTGCCAATATTTAGTATGGAAAGTTCTTCATAACATAGCCTTGCCATAACATTGGTCTCTTGTGTGGCAGTCCATTAATCCCCATGATGACTCTTTTTCAAAAAAAGACAGTTTGATTTTGTTTAAGGTTCATAAGCCTTTGTCATTGCTTTTTTGTGTTATATACATTCTTACAATTTTTGGTAAGAAACTGAAGTATCAAGTTGTGCAACTGGACCAAAACATTTTAAATGTTTTCTAATTGTTGTTTTAGCAAAGTTTTGATGCTGAATGCAGTCTCCGAGCAAGCTTCCCATACGGTTATCTGATGATCATCTCCAATGATAACTTTGACTTGGTCATCATCAACTTCAGTTGGCCGAACTTTGTTCATCTTCAAAAAAAAAAAAATCTCCAGAACGGAATACTTTATATCAATTCTGTATGTGCGTTCTGTTGAGCAAAAAACACTATAAACTTTACCGTTTTTACGAGCCGCAGTAGCTTTTTTTTCATTATGGAAATAAACTGCCCAGATGTCTACATGCCCAGAAAATTTGTTTCTACACTCTATTTAAAATTAACCCACCACAAATAATAGTTTTCATCAAAATACGCAGTACTGACCAGTATCACGTGACAAATGAGAAAGAACAGACCTAACATAAAGTTATACAAAAAATAGGTTAACATTCCCGATCAACTACTTGGTTGCAAACTCAATATTTTATATTTAATCCAACATCAAATATATAAAACAAATTTTTCTTAAAATATCTATTCTACTTACCATTGAGACATAGAGATTAGCCCTGCACACATCGCACTCCTTATCTTTGAGTTCTTTCACTTGAACACTACGTTCACTTTTATCACAATCACCAGCACTATCCAAACCATCATTGACTATTTTCAAAAACTGTTCACGTTCACTACTCTCTCGTCCCACCAGCTCCTGCAAAGGCTCCAGGATCGATTTCAAAACAACGTCTTGCGCCCTTGCATCTGAAGCGATGCTCACCAGGAGCTGGTCGAGGGAGAACATTGTTGGTTCACGACTTTCTTGGATATCCTAAGTGAAAAAATAGTTATAGATTTGATTAGAGCGCCCTGAATTATTGATGGTTTACCTTGAAATCCTGCTGAGCCCCTTCAAGCCAGTCCGTGGTAGCGTAATAGACACTTTCGGAGACAGCGTATCCGGTGCAGAGACTCGAAGTGTAAGCCCTAGGGCACACGAGGACAAATTCACCAGGACGTTGGACGGTTCTCGAAAGAGGAACGTTTCGAGACAACAGTTCACCTATGCCCAAAAAATAAAGTATAAAAATACAACTATTAGTATCAAAACATTTAGAAAAACGCCATCGCCTATATCAAATGTGTATAAATACATTTGTTTTGTTTTTGGATAAAATAGAAAATGTCAATGGAAAAAAAAGATAGAACTAATTGTGCGTTCAAAATAGAAGTATCCAGAAATATTAATCGTAGTCATTTGGAGACGTCCATTGATCAAGTGAAGTTTAAAAGGGGGGTTATCAAGTGAAGTATCAAGTGTATTTATTTTTTACCTCTATCCAACATTTTTTAATCAAAAATCCAAAAATTTGACATTTAATTTAGGTACAAGATATGTGGGGAAAGGGAATAATTTATAATATCATCACGTATCACCAATGAAGATGGAGATGTCCAAAAATCCTTAAAAGCAATCACATCATTAATGGTTGTCACCTTTGTGCATCTATAATTTTTAACCAATGGATTAATAAAATGACTTCTAAATAGTAGAAGGTATGCTTATCAGAAAAAAACAATATGGTCAACATTGGGAATGTCACGAATATATGCAATTTAACGTTTAACAAAGTACCACAAGATGCGGTCCTAGGACCTTACTTGTTTTACCTTGAGAATTCTATAAGTGAAATATATAAATTAGATAATGGTGTACCAAAGTTAGGACAAAGGAAATGAACTTAGAGAAAAGGAGGCGTCCAATAATCACCTGTACAATTTTTAAGGGCTTTTGGTTGTAATTAATGGATGCCCCCTTTGTGCATTTACTGATTATATCTACTATAATTTTTTAACCAATTATCTGTTTCTTCCACACTACATTACAATTCTGATGACTTCTAAAAAGTGGAAAGTATGCTCGTCAGCATGATATGAATAATTTCTTGTCAGAAAAAACAATAAGGTCAACTTTGGGAATGCTACGAGTATCCCCCTAAATTAACGCCTGGTATACCGCAAAGCTCGGTCCTAGGACCCCCGTAATACCTTGCATATACGACTAACTTGTACAAAATAAACTTAGAGGAAAGGAGGTGTCCATTAATCACCTGCACAATTTTTAAGGACTTTCGGCCGCCACTTCTAGATAGTGGAAGATAAGCTTGTTAATATGTTACAAAAATTCTTGTCAGAAAGAACAAGAAGGTCAACGTAGGGATTACCACGCGTATCCTAAGGTCATAGGACCTTACTTGTTTGGTAAAAGATTGGGAATTCTACAAGTGCAATATGTAAATTAAAGCATGGTGTACCGCAAAGTTCGGTCTTAGGATCCCCGTAATACCTTGCATATACGACTAACTTGTACAAAATAAACTTAGAGGAAAGGAGGTGTCCAATAATCATGTGTTGGATTTTGAAGAACTTGTAGGCCACCCAGTTCCTTTGGTGATTCCTGGTGATAAAATTACTTCACCTCACCAGCCCAACATTACATGTTGTTTTAGTACCAAGAAAAATGCGTTTATGATTTTTATAGATTCAGGTAAATAATAAATACACGTAACATCTTAACTAAACCTCCAGTTCCGCACGTCGTATTTCATAATTTTTTGTCAAACCCCACCACCCCTTATAAGTCTCACATGATTGATGGATGACTCCAAAACAGTAAGAACAAGTGAAACATTCAATTCAGTGTGTGGAGTACCACAAGACTAAGTCCGAAGACCCGAAATTTCTGTTATATTCGACTAACTATATGCGTGATTGATCAAATAAATAAAGATGATGAAAATGGTAACATGGTTATATTACATGATGAAAATGGTAACATAGTCATATTATATATAATAATGATTTTGTCTGACTAATAAATACAAAATATATATAAAAGAAATAATATTGTTTAAACATTTCTCTAACATTACCTGGTGGTATCATTGCTGAATCTGATGGCAGCCAAATTGTCTGTGGAAGTACTGATTGTGGAGCCAAAACTGTTAAAGCATCCCGGAAGGCATCTGATGCCCTATCTGGTATTCCATACCTAAAAGATAAAAAAATACACAAACCATAACAAAAAATAGTAAAAAAATATAATATTCTAAATAAAACTAGGTAAAAGTAGCATTTTGGCTTAAGGCAATGCATTAACAATTTGATAAATATTAATTTGATTCATAAAAAATCTAAAGGTCTGCTTGTCTACTTGTTAACCTTTTAACCTGTCTACTTGGCTACCTGTTTACCTTTATACCTGTCTACTTGTCCAACTACGTACCTGCCTATTTGTCTAGCTGCCTACCTGTTTACCAATAATTCCGCGGCTAGACAAAAGATGTATTTGCACATATATACATACATACATACAACACACACATACAACCATTTTATAAAGAATGCATTCTGCAGTTTTTCTAAGGTATACCTATATGATCAGAAGGTTTGGAAACAGAAATATATATAATATTCACATTTACTATAAATTTTATAATTAAACTAGCGGGGTGGGTGGCATCGTGCCTTAAGGCAAATTGCTAGCACTTCCCGTACCGTAACGAAATGTTCGAGGAATATTGAATGTTTTCAAATAGATTATTATAAATATTGTAACATTGTCTAATATTTATAAGAATTATATAAACTGAATTGCAGAGTTGAAATTATTTGTTTAAAGTATATTAGAACTATAGTCAGAATTAAAAATAAAATCTGAATTATTTTCGATATACAAAAATTAAAAAAAAAAAAAAAAAAAAATGGTACAAATTTTTTTTTTTCCAAAATCAATTATTTTGTTAAGACAAGCAGAAAGTTCTTTGAATCAATTGAATCGGACGCTTAGTTCTCTCAAAAACTGCCATTTTTTGTACATTTAGCTCTGTATCTCCGAAATGGCTGGGCCTGCCTTTGCGAAAAACTAATAACGCCTTCTCCCAATCATTACTAATTGAATGTTTTTTAGATCATTCAAATCGGATGTTCCATTCTCTCAAAAACTCGATTTCTATTTTCTGCACTCTTTGCTCCTTATCTCCGTAACTGCTGGACCTGTCTTTGCCAAAAACTAATCAGCTCTTCTCCTTATTAATAGGAATCGAATGTTTTTTAAACCATTCAAATCGGTTGATCCGTACGCCCGAAAACGTGGGCGAAAATTTGTATCCATACATACATACACACACACACACACACACACACACAGCCATTTTTTCTGAGGTATGCCAAAACGTTCAGAAACCTTCAAAACGTCGAGAAATGTAAAAATTTTCAATTCCGATTTTCGGCCCATTACAATAACTTACCCTACGGGAAGTTAATAATAATGTTACCATATTTTATTTGCCCCAGTGTGAAGATATTCAATCCAAGGTAATCCATGAGGATCCCGATACCAGCAACATGCACTAAATAACATTCCAACATGAAGAGTTGGCACAGTCAAACCTTAAGGAAATAAAAAATACTTTTGATTCATGTCATTGTATTTTAATGTGTAATTTTATAACTTACCCATAACTGGTCCCAAAGATCTTAACACTGATCCATTGTTATTTGTTAAAACCTGTCAAATATCATTAACAGTTAATTTATCAAGTCAACATCAGAACTTTCTATATTTGTTTCTCTGTTTCTTACCTTAAGGTTCCATGGATGCCTAGCAACAGGACTACTCTTGACAGGAAATCCATAACCAAAGCCTGATGAGTCAATCGAGCCAACATGCACACATATATGTTTATCTCTTCGAGACACATGCTCCCAATATTGTTTCTCAACCTGAAAGAGAAAAATACATTTTTATACACACATCTCTCCAATAGCTAAAAATATCCTCATGGACCAGTGTTCCACGCAGAAAAAGATAGTGCATGGCATTTAAAAGTAAAGAATGATTAATCAATGAATAATAAAAGAGAAGGAAGAATAGCATTCAAGATCCTCCCCCCATAAAGTACTGCGTGATAGCAATTTCCGTGGAAACAAGAGACAAATAAAAAACAGATTTTAGACAGTATTATTATTAGTGATACCGAGATAAACAACCAAAACATGTAGACCTGGCATACTTAAACTCATTCTTTTGGCTAAACACCATTAACACATTGACTGCGGAGGTCTTTGGACCTATATTGTTTTGCTATGCTAAAATGTTTTGTTTAAAAAATAGTTTCTTTAAACAGTAATTCAGTGGCGAATGCAAAAGCATTATTTGGATCCATCCTTCATCCATAGAAATTACTAAATAGTTGGTTCTATTATACGAATAAATTGAGAGTAGATTTAAAGTAAATGTGGCACTTCCGACTGCCGCACCAGGAAGTACGGATTGGATGATTTCGACCGAAATGTGGCACTTCCTACTGCCATACCAGGAAGTACGGATTGGATGATGTCGACGCCCGCAATCAACGTATTATCTATAAATCAACTTACCTCGCTGGGTTCAGGTGCCCCATTCTTAAACCATACAGACATGGTGTTCCTTGCAATCCTGAAGAACTGACTCAGAGCCATATTTCGTCCCTTCAAAGTACACTCCCTTAAATCCCTATCAGTCTCAGAATCGAAGTCATCAATACTGTTGTTGCTCTCGGTATCGGTGTCCCTTTCCTTGTCAGGCTGGTTATCAGACTCATACTGCTTGTAGTGTTGATTCTTTTCGTGTTGTTTTTGGCGGTATAGAGTCTCTTTTCGAGTCCACTCCTGTTTCACTTCGGATAACAGCTTCTGTCTCTCCACTGGGGGAAAAAGAAAAGTAAGGAACTGATTAAGGTACACCAAGGTTTTATTTTAGAAGGTGATGGGCCTGAAAACTGATGTAAAATTTGTTCCAATAGAATTGATATTTCTGGGTGTCAAGAATAATCAGATAAGTCTTAAAATCTATCTGGTTTCTTTCTTAATCAAATTAGCATGATTGTTCTTAGAGCAAAAGTCAATTAGATACATTGAAGTTATGACACCTACTTAACTTTTTTCTTATAATTCATATAAATTTGGGAAATTGTGTATTAGCAAGCTGGTCTGGTCTGAAATTGTGTATTAGCATGTCTGGTAATAGGTCTATATATCAAATAAATAAATAAAACGTCCAATATTCACCTGGTGACAGCGTGTCATAGGGTAGTAAGTATTTACAATAAATATCATCCAGCTTGGTGACCCTGTCCTGTGCTGATTTGGGTATGCACATTTCTTCTGCAACCCTGTGCCACTTCTTCTTTTCAATCACCTTCAAAAGAAATAAAACAAAGTGTAAGTGGTATCTTGCCTTAAGACAATTTGCATGAACTTCCTAAGACAATGAGTGAATAATCAATTTGATCAATAAACTTTAATTTGTATATGATCTGCCAGTCAAACTATCTATTTGTTTAACTATCTAAGTGTTTACCTCTATAACTGTCCACCTGTTTACCTGTCTGCATATCTGCTGATCTACTGCTATTTGTATATAATCTGCTAGTCAAACTGTCTATTTGTTTAACTATCTAAGTGTTTACCTCTATAACTGTCCACCTGTTTACCTGTCTGTATATCTGCCTATCTACCTATTATTTGTATATAATCTGCTAGTCATGCCATCTATTTGTTTAACTATCTAAGTGTTTACCTCTCTATCTGTCCACTTGTTCATCTGTCTACTTGAATACCAGTACCTGTCCGTATATCTGCCTACCTGTCCACATATCTATCTATCAGTTTACCTGGTCTTGGTCCATCTTTCTGTCTGTTGACCTGTTCACTTGCATACCTGTCTACATGTCTACTTGTATACCTCCAATACCTATCTGCCTACATGTCAACATGTCTACCAATAATTCTATTTGTATTTAATATAATAAAATTCATAAGAAATGGTCAATTTTTATTATTGAATGATAGTTTTTTGAACTCGTTGATTAATTGATAAATAACAGATTTAATCAATAAGAATTAGATTTGTATATCTGCCAGTCTATCACTTCATCAGCTGTTTACCTGTCTACCCGGCATATCCGTATACTGGTACCTATCTGCCCACCTATAGATGTTTCTTTAAGTTTACCTAGCCATCTGCCTATCTTTCTGTCTGTTTACCTTATAACTTGTGTACCTGTCTACCTGTCTACTTGCATACCTCCAATGCTTATCTTCCTACATGTCAACATGTCTACTAATAATTACATTTGTATTTTATATCATAATAATGATATGTAATGATCAATTTCGATCAACAAATGGTAGTTTTTTGAACTTTTTTTCTCATCTCCAAAACTGCTGTACTTGCTTTGGGAAAAATGTAATCAATTCTTTATTCTGCCAATACAAGTAAAATGTCTTGGTTGATCTGTGCTCCCAAAATCATTGACAAAAGATTGTATCCATACACACATACATATTGTACGCATAAACATACACATCCATCCATCAATTTTTTCTAAGGTATGCCAAACTGTTCAGAAGTCTTTAAAATGATATCCAGAGTTTTTCATTTTTGATTTTTTTGCATATCCTATGGGAAGTTAATAAATAAATAATATATATTTTACCTCTTTGAGACCTCCAAGATCTTGAACAGTGTGATAAAGTCTTGGCAGATCGATTTCCATTCCACCAATCTAATAAAAAAATAACTTTGATAAATAAAATTTAGTACAGACAAACTTAAACAAAAACAAATAAATAAAATAATAAGGTCAAAAATAGTAGTTTTTTTGGCGCACTAAATCTAAATCTACTAAAAATATTCTGTTACTTACAAAAGGTGCATGTGTCAAGGTGATGCTCTGAGTTTCCAAATACTTCTTAATCGCCAATAATTCTTGAACAGAAGGTCCAAACCTATAAAAATATTTTATAAATACTATAAATAGTACATCACACTAACAAATTTCCATTACACATGTGTCCTTTATCTTACCTGTACATCATCCGATTAACATACTGGTTGTAAGCAGTAAACCTCATATCATCAGCAACCTTACAATCAGGTTTAAAAGAAGCAGGAGGCACAATTCTGCACAGTCCAAACTTGGAAGCAATCGGCGTGATCTGTTCAATGAATGCTATAGGATCCATAAACTGTTTCTCCGAAGGGTAAAACGTGGGAGCATCCAATATCTCACCACTGTTCACCTCCTTTGGTTCAACCTTCTTAATATCAGAACCAGGCGACACAACTCGGCGATTGATTTTAAAATCAGGTTTCTTGTCGTTCAAGTGTTTCTGTGCATCCATTTCCTTGAGATAGGACTTGAATTGAGAGCCCTGGTTAGAGGTGAGATTTGGTGATGTATTGACAGTCTTGGGTATGTGTTTTTCTTCCCTGGATAGTGGTTGTACGGTTCCGACAGGTGGAGGGTTTGATCGTCTGCTTTTGGGTAAGTCAATGGTCTTCTTGGCCATTATTAGGGAGTCTTCGCTTGGTGATAGGGCTGTCAGAGTTTCGTGGGATGTTGTTGCTAATTGGGTTTGGTTGGTGGTAGACATTTGGGCTTTGGTTACTAGTTTGGCACGCATTATCACGCGCTGGTTGGGGCCGTCTGGACCTTCGGTGCCTAATTTGACGGCAACTCCTGTTAGAAAAAAAAAGAAAATAATAAAGTAACTAGAGACAAGTTGCATGAATTCCTCAATATGTGTAAATATTGAAAAAACAATATTTAACATTACCAAAATTAATCAACATTATTTCCAAATGATCGCTTTCGAACAGTTTTTTTTAATAAAATATCGGTTTTTAATTTTTGGTCAAGACGTTGACGTGAATTTTACATTTATGTGGTTAATTTTAAAGAAACGGTTCGGCTGATAGTCGCATAAAAATAATAGACACAAGTTTTTCGAGTTTCCACAAACGGTCTTTGAATTATTGAAATCGGTGCAGCCGTTTTTAAGAAAACGTCGACAAAAAGGCAAATTTTGTACAACGCGTACCTTTTCCAATTTCGATGTCAAACCATTTAGATTGATTTGAAGCATGAAATTAGCAAATCGGATTTTCTTGTCAAAGTCTTATTATATTATCATTTATCTCTTACCTTGAATGAGATGCTCCGAGATGTTCTCTCCAGTCTTTGAGTTCTGCAAAGGAATATAAAATAGATGCCCCTCGTTAGCCAAAGCATAATCAGTCTGCGTAGAAATCTCCATATTCCTAAAATCAGCCAAGTTCCCTTGAGGCAAAGTGATCTTGGTTGCTTGCTGATCGCTTTGGAAATCACACTGAACAGCAATCGAAGACTTCATATTACCCAAATCTAAATCTTTAGATGTGCCAACATCCATAACGTCGACACTGGTGTCACAAGACTTGGTCTCGACGGGTTTGGTTGAAGGAAGCACTTTTGGTGGTGTAAAGATGTCGGATGTGTCTACACTTGAATTTTTACGTTGAGTTTTAGTTAATTTTGGTTTGTCTTCTGGCTCTGGTTTCCTTTTGGTGTCGAGATGTAGATTTGGTCTAAAAGGAGTTGATGTAGGTGGTCCTTGATCATCAAGACAAAAAGAGTACACGCTTGTCTCGTTATCAGGAGAGAACGCTTGTTTGTTCTTCGTCGACATATTTTTATTCGGAGTTATCTTTAAAGTGTTACGTTTTTGATGAAATATCAACTTCCGCTCGTTTTTACCTTTCTCATCATCTTTTACCGCCGGTTTTTCAAAAAACTCCTTGTTCTTGATCTCGACAGTCTCCTTGAACTTCTTTATATCCAGTTCGGACATCGCCAAGTCATCTTCCATTGGCTCGGGCTCCAGGCAACTCTCGTTCAACCACTTCTCGATCTCCTCACTGGACATGTTGACTTTCCTTTTGTTGCGTTGAAGGTCAATTTTCGTGTCCACGTCACGGCTGGTTGCTGGTTTTTGGTACAACTTGTTATACAAAGGGTTTTTTAAGTCCTCGTTTTCGTTCTGGGGTCGTTTGGCAATCCCAAAAACTTTTTGGGACTCCTCAAAACTCGGTACAGGATTAGTGCTGAATCCTTCAGATACTTTGATGGTAGATTCAGCTTTCTTGCGAGCTTCCATGCACTTTTTCATTGTTGAAATCTTTTTTAAGGCATCACTGATATCAACTTGATCTTTTTTAGAACTTAAGACTGTTTCATTATCAGATTTGCTTTTTGTGCTGATCTTTAAAGCTAAAGGCTCTTCATCGGATTCGCTAAAACTTTTCTCCACTTTTTTGGTTGACTTTTTAGGAAACGACTTTTTTTGTTGCACCTTTTTTTTGGAGCCAACTTTTCTCTTTGTTTTTTCCTCACCTTTACTATCACTCAATCCCGTACTTTTATCCGATCTCAAATTACAACGCCTAGAACTTTTATCTATGTTGACACTATTTAACTCATACAAAGACAACTGTCCTTCAGATTCACTTGGAGTCTCGCTATTGGAATAATAATCAGTCTTGAGCTCGTTTACAACCTTTTTCTCGGTCTTGATTTCCACAACACTCGGTTTAATGGTACTGCTATCACTGTAAGTACTTTTGCCACTTTTGGCGCTCTTACCACTTTTTCCAGTTTTGACATTCTGTGCTTTCAATTCATTCTCCATCTGCTCAGTTTTCCTGACGTTTGGAAGCTCTGGAAAGCTATCTAGGGAAGAGTTGTCTTCATCAAAGTTGTGGGATGTGTTCAGTCTTTGTCCGAGGAGTTCCATGTACAAAGTAGCGGCTTCTTTTGTTTTGCGACTCGGTCTGGGGGTACGATTGCCTTTGGAGACATCAGAATCAGACACGTTTGATGAATCTAGAGCCTTGGATTTGGAGATTGATTTTTTGGTCAAGATTTTTGATTCGTCTTTGGATAAAGATTTCTTGGTGGATGCTGCCTGGTTCTTAACTAGTTTTGCATCATCAGGGATTGATTTGTCAAGTTCTTTTTCAACTTTTGGTTTCTTATCCAATGCTTTACTTGGTTTTTCATCTTTGGGTTTATCAACAGTCTTTGTTGCATCTTTAGTGATTTTTGCAGTTTTATCCACCACTTTGTCTACGGATTCACTTGATTTATCATCCTTAGTTTTTGCAGTATCTAAACTTTTCTTGGCTTGCTTCTTGGCTTCATTTTTGGCTTTCTGCCGCTTCTTAGAGACCTTCAGTAAAGGCTCATCATCATCAGAAGAAAATTCTGATACTTCTGACTTCTTGACAACTGATTTATCATCTTTAACTGAACTTGTTTTATCCGCGTCCGCTGTATTTGATTTCCTGGTGCTAGGCTTGGTTTTATCTTTCGATTCAGCATCTTTAACTAATTTAACGACCAACTTCTTGGGTTCTTTAACAACATCTTTAACACTTTCTGGGATTTTACCTTTATCCACTTTGACATCCTCCCGCGCTTGTCTTCTAGCCACCAATTTCTTTTCAATCTGTTTTCTTACTGGTAAACTACGAGCAATTTTTTTCATCACCCTACCTCCTCCAGTCGACGCCGAACTCCTCAAGCACATTCGTCTTTTTGCCAAAATTTTACTTTGTACCAAATTCTTGGGTTTCATGGCAGTCGCTTTGCTTTGTAACAGTTTTGTTGGTTTAGTTTTTATTGAAGGTAAATTTGCTGTTTTTTTGACAATGGATTTAGATTTAAGATTGGTGGACGTCTGTGGTGGCTTTTCGGTGATTCTTTTGGTTGCGCGTACTTTGGTCACTGGGACACATGACCTAGTTTGAACCTAGAATAATGAAAATCTAAATAAAACACTAACCGTCGGACATTTCCGAGAAAAATGGTGGAAAGATGTAATATTTTTGGAAGTTTTATGGTAAAATATCTGGAATTACATTTGTTTCAAAGCTAACCGTGATCAATTCGGACATACGGTATACAACTATGGAGACCAGCTTCTGAATCAAATGTGTTAAAAATCCAAAGATGCTAAAATAAATTACTTAAAGAAATTTTGAATGTCCCAAAGTATATTCCAAAATGGTTAACATCTAAATACGCCGACATTAACATAGTAAACAATGAAATACGAACACATTCAGACAATTATAAAAGCCGTCTCGAAGATCATCAAAACTCACAGCACAAGATTGAAAAGGAAATGCATGTTACATGACTCATAAATCATAAATCTCTGATTATGATCAGACAGTTAAGTATTTTTAAAGCCCTTTTTATAATCCTAGTGCTTTACTTATTATTTATTTTTTTATTTATTTATCAATTTTACAAGCCGTCGGTATAATATTTAATATTATAAAAAGGCTTAAGTCAATATTTTATAGGTTTAATATAATTTAATTAATTATTAGCTATTTTATTACTTAATTTATTTACTATAAACTTATTTATATTTAGTTAATTATAATTATTTTTGAATATAACTAGTTTGTTTGTTGCAAGTGTTTTTAAAAATTTAATAAGTATTTTAATAAGCTACAATACTTTTACAATATTAACAAATTTTAGGTTATTTTATGATATTTTAACAAATTTAAGTGTCTAATTTCATTGTAATTATTATTATTATTATTAATAATGATATTATTATTATCGTTTTTATTATTATTGTTAAATATTTTTACAATTTTTTTTTTTCTTTTACAAATTTTTAGGTATTTTGATGAAGGAAATATTTAATGTCCATTTCAGGACACATTTTTTTTTGCTCTTTTATTTATTTAAATTTATATTATTATTTATCAATATTACTTGATGTTAATAAATTAGCAGTTGTAATAATTATTGAAATTAAAAAAAAAAAAAAAAAATCAGGACAGATGTAAAAATTACTATACAATAAATATTTTTAGGAGTTATACTACTCCCAGATATGCATTTATATAATATAATTGATGTATTATTGACTTTAACATACCGAGTGGTCGCTGATCTTACTGAAAGCAACAGCCCTCAACTTAGCCATCTTCTGTTCCTGATACTTCTTCCTCAGCGCCTGCACTGTCACCCTGTGCTGTCTGGTCTTATCCATCTTGATCTGATTTGCATCCCGCACATCCTTACCAACACTTTTAACACTCTCATTACTCTTCCTGCCCCTAACTTTCCTCGAGCCAACACCACTCTTCTCAGGAAACACAGAAGCCCTCTTCCTGACACCAAATGGTATAAAATTCACTGGTGGTGGTGTAGACTTAGGAGTTTCACCTCCTCCTGTGTTATTAGAACTCGTAGAAGCATTATTGTTGTTGTTGTTAACACTTGTTTCTTGATTGGGGTTTATTTCAGAGCTTCCATGAGGATAATTGAGGAAGTCTAGATTAGAAGGAAGCATTGGAGTGCCTCGAAAGCATAGGAATGTAAGGAAGTCTTCAGTCTTTGGTCTGTTTTGGGAAGATGACTCATCTTGGAGTTGGAAGTTTCTTGTCGATTGAGACTGCTGGGGTTTGGAAGGCTCCTCTCGGGGTGGTTGGACCAGTGGAAGGATTATTGGGGGGCACAGGGCTCCTTGGGCAAATTTTCTTTGAGCGTGGACCTTCACTCTGAAAGATAGAATATGATTGATTTAGGTAAATAATTTTATGACAAGTTTGTTGTTAAATTGTGCGTTTATTGTCTCTTGTAACTCTTAAACTAATTTATTAATATAAACGATATGAATGAGTATGAGAGTTTTCACAAGTCATATATAATTTTAACTCTTTGAATGAAAAAGTTTATAAAAGAAAATATTTGCACATACGAACATTTAAGATTAATTTAAAATGTTGTATAGTATTAATCATTTAAAGTACAATCAATTCTATTATTTTAATTTAACAATAATTTAATGCACAATGATTTATTCTATTATTTTACAACAACAATTCTGTTTTAAAATTTTATCTCATCTAATTTTAATGAAAATTATGTTTAGTAACAAATGTTTTCACAAGCTATGCACCATTCTGACTACATCGAACAAAAAAACATATTCAACAACATAATTTCACAAACAACCATATGATATAATTAATTAAAACGTTATATTATATATATATATAATTTAATGTGTAATAACATTAATTTGAACTTTAAACAATATTGTTACTTTTATATCACTATCCAATTAATATTTCAAATAAGTTTTTACAATTATAAGTTACAAAACAGAAGCCCTTTAAGCTATAAGGCTCTAACTTGAACAAAAAATATTTAACTATTTGGAATAAGCTTACTTATCTCAACAAAAGTAAGTAAATAAAAAAAAGTATGTACAAATATGCAATGTAATTAACATAAACTTTATGCTTAATCATAAATATCAGTTTTGTCTTCAAAATATGTTTCCAAAACAGAAGTCTTTACAAGTTGAGTAATATCCTCAAATGTCCTGAACAAACAAATGAATATAAACATTCATTTCAGTCATTTTTTCTTAAACAAATGAGAAATAACACTAATTTGAGCCCATAACAAAGTTAAATTGGAATAAATATCCATTTGTTACTTAAATAGGATTTTGCAATAAAAATGTTGCAAAATAGAAGTCTTATATAAAGATTCAACTGATTTGAACAAAAAATGTACAAACATATTCAACAAGTTTACTTATTTAAACAAAAAAAGCAACAAATACAAAATTTGTATGTACAAATATGCATTATAATTCGTTTAAACTTGATGCCAAATATAAATATCAGTTTTGTCTTCAAGATATATGTTCCAAAACAGAAGTCTTTACAAGTCGAGTAATGTTCTCGAGTGTCCTGGACAAACAAATAGATAAATACAATCATTTTTTCTTAAACAAATGAGAAATAACATTAATTTGCCTACAACATTTTTAAATTGATACAAATATCTATTTACTATTTAAATAAGATTTTGCAAACAAAAGTTCTGCAGTAAAAATGTTGCAAAATAGAAGCCTTATAAGGATTCGAAAGGAACAAAAAATCGTACAAAATTATGCAACAAGTTTACTTATTTAAACAAAGAAAAGCAAATAATATAAACTAGTATGTACAAATATGCAATATAATTAATTTAAACTTTATACCTAATCATAAATATCTGTTTTATCTTTAAACTATGTTCCAAAACAGAAGTCTTTACAAGTCGAGTAATGTTCTTGAGTGTCCTGGACAAACGAATGGATAATAACAACAATGTTTTTGCACAAATTAGTGATTACATCATTTACTTGATATTAATATCCATTTCATATTTAAAATATCTTTGAAAAAAAAACAGCTGCAAAACAGAATTTTGTATCTACAAACATGCAAAATAATAATTATTATTTTTATATAATATATAATATCAGGTTTATCTTCAATATATGTTTCAAAACAGAAGTCTTTACAAGTCGAGCAATATTCTCGAGTGTCCTGGACAAACAAATAGATAAAAACACACATTTTTTTGAAGAAATAAGATATTATATTAATTTGTTCATTATCTTGATATAAAAATCAATTCAAGATTATCTTTAAAATAATAAGTAGATATTTAAAATATGTTCCAAAACAGAAGTCTTTACAAGTCGAGCAATGTTCTTGAGTGTCCTGGACAAACAAATGGATAAAAACACACATTTTTTTGAACAAATGAGTGAAAACATTATTTTGTGCTTCAAACTACATCATTAACTTGATATAAATATCTATTTAAGTTTACCTTCAAAATAATAAATAGATATTTAAAATATGTTCCAAAACAGAAGTCTTTACAAGTCGAGCAATGTTCTCGAGTGTCCTGTACAAACAAATGGATAAAAACACACATTTTTTGAGCAAATAAGTTATTACATTAATTTGTGCTTTAAACTACATCATTAACTTGATATAAATATCTATTTAAGTTTACCTTTAAAATAATAAATAGATATTTAAAAGTATGTTCCAAAACAGAAGTCTTTACAAGTCGAGCAATGTTCTCGATTGTCCTGGACCAACAAATGGATAAAAACAAACATTTTTTTAAACAAATGAGTTATTACATTAATTTGTGCTTCAAACTAGCATCATTAACTTGATATAAATATCTATTTAAGTTTATCTTTAAAATAATAAATGGATATTTAAAATATGTTCCAAAACAGAAGTCTTTACAAGTCGAGCAATGTTCTCGAGTGTCCTGGACAAACAAATTGATAAAAACACACATTTTTTAAACAAATGAGTTAATACATTAATTTGTGCTTTAAACTACATCATTATCTTGATATAAATATCTATTTAAATTTATCTTTAAAATAATAAATAGATATTTAAAATATGTTCCAAAACAGAAATCTTTACAAGTCGAGCAATGGTCTTGAGTGTCCTGGACAAACAAATGGATAAAAACAACAATTAATTTGAACAAATGAGTTATCACATTAATTTGTGCTTTAAACTACATCATTAACTTAATACAAATATATATTTAATATTTGCAACAAAACTGTTGCAAAACAGAAGCACTACAAAAGGCTTCTGTTTGATTGTCTGATTTAAACAAAAAAAATACTCAATTTAGTTTTCCTTTAATGAATAATAATATTGCATATTAAATACAACTTAAATAACTCATTGCCACAATGAGTTTAATACAAAATATTAAATAAATTTGCAAATTTATGCAAACAAATTTGGTACAAACATGGCGTGTGAATAAACAATGGAAAAGAAAATTTAAATTCTGCAAATATATTACCCTTAAGCCTAAATTATAATAACATACTACCCTCAAGCATAAAATCCATTACAATTACCAATAATCATTTATCTATTTACCTTTTAGTAATTTCTGGCGAAATGTCAATTCTGTTAGCGTCTTTACGCTTTCTTTTATTCGGCACGACCATTTCGAAATATTTTCGTCGTGCTTTTTAACGCAAATTTAACACTTCACATATTTAATTAACTATTTAATTGTCACATCGTTCAGAATTATTAATCTAGCACTAAAACTATTATTTTTATTAATCTAAAATCGGCATCTGACACAAGAGTACACAAAAGCATCCATCTTTATTTTTCATCCCTTGAGTTTTGCTAAGTTTTGCAAACTGTGGGGAAAATTGCGATACGAATTTATGGCGGATAATGGTAATAAATAGTAATGATAAAGAATGGTATTATTAATAATCGAAAAAAATAATTTGGGATGATAATAAAGTATTATTTATAACAGTTTTTAGGTTTTTATGTAAATTTTTGCAAGTTGAGTCATAACGTCTTTGTGAGAACTTTTGACAGTTTTGACATCTATGGAGTGAAGTTAGACGCAAATTGAACTGTCAAAAAAGGCGCTGAATTTCAAATCGATATTTTCAAAATTATGTACTACTTTATATTTAATAAAACTACACAAACATAAATAAAAACTTATAATTTTTACATCCACATTAATGCAAATATTAATTCAATATTAAAAACATAAAAATATTATATTATGATTTAATCAAATATTGCAATAATAATAGTGATTTATATGTATAAAGAATTAAATTATTACTTTATAAATATAATATTTATATTAAATACTTTACATTAAATCATCATACTACAGTAAATTGAAATAAAATGTAAATTTTATCCTTTGTACTCTTATTTATTTAAATTTGGTAGAATGAAACACTGGATGGATTGAGTCAATATATTTGAAACAATGTTACTTCTTCGGGGGTATATATACAAGAGAAAGATTACAATCTACGCAACTACTGCAGACACGGCTCTAAACACCGGTTAAAATAGTGTCTAGGACCATTCTAAGACTTTTCGAAATTAATTTAAAATTTAAAACACTTTTTGTATGAATAAACTTAAAGAGTGCCCCAGAGTCCTTCAAAAATAGAGCATCTCTCTTCCCTTCTAATATCAGATTTAGGTATCCTATAGACGAAAAGTTGGGCTCTGCAAGAATTAAAACATGAGCTTTGCAAAGCCAGTATCATTATTTTTACAGAGTTTCAAATAGCAAACAAAAAAATAAACAAGATAAAAAGTTATAAATTAAAAATTACTTTATGTACCCATACCTTCAGTAACAATATATGTATAAAGAAAACTGAATTAATCCATACCACAAAAAATTGATGGCTTTGCACATTCTATAAATATATTACATAAATATGATTTATATGTTTTAATAATATCCTATATATTTCATATATGTTAAAAATAATTAATGCTAATTTAAACAAATTTTTAATAATATATTCAGATATTAATTTCATTTAATTTTAAATAAAAAATATGTTAGAAATATTATTTAATGCTAATTTAAAACAAATTTTAAAGAATATAATCATATTAATTTCATTTAATTTTAAATAAAAAATATGTTAAAAATGCACATTCTATAAATATATTACATAAATATGATTTATATGTTTTAATAACATCTTATATATTTCATATATGTTAAAAATATTTAATGCTAATTTAAACAAATTTTTTAATAATATAATCAGATATTAATTTCATTTAATTTTAAATAAAAAATATGTTAGAATATTATTTAATGCTAATTTAAAACAAATTTTAAAGAATATAATCAGATATTAATTTCATTTAATTTTAAATAAAAAATATGTTAAAAATGCACATTCTATAAATATATTACATAAATATGATTTATATGTTTTAATAACATCTTATATATTTCATATATGTTAAAAATATTTAATGCTAATTTAAACAAATTTTTAATAATATAATCAGATATTAATTTCATTTAATTTTAAATAAAAAATATGTTAGAAATATTATTTAATGCTAATTTAAAACAAATTTTAAAGAATATAATCAGATATTAATTTCATTTAATTTTAAATAAAAAATATGTTAAAAATGCACATTCTATAAATATATTACATAAATATGATTTATATGTTTTAATAATATCCTTTATATTTCACATATGTTAAAAATATTATTTAATGCTAATTTAAACAAATTTTTAATATAATCAGATATTAATTTCATTTAATTTTAAATAAAAAATATGTTAGAAATATTATTTAATGCTAATTCAAAACAAATTTTTAAGAATATAATCAGATATTAATTTCATTTAATTTTAAATAAAAAATATGTTAGAAATATTATTTAATGCTAATTTAAAACAAATTTTAAAGAATATAATCAGATATTAATTTCATTTAATTTTAAATAAAAAATATGTTAAAAATGCACATTCTATAAATATATTACATAAATATGATTTATATGTTTTAATAATATCCTTTATATTTCACATATGTTAAAAATATTATTTAATGCTAATTTAAACAAATTTTTAATAATATAATCATCAGATATTAATTTGATTTAATTTTAAATAAAAAATATGTTAAAAATATTATTTAATACTAATTTAAACAAATTTTTAATAATATAATCAGATATTAATTTCATTTTAGATAAAAATTTTAAATAAAAAATATGTTAGAAATATTATTTAATGCTAATTTAAACTTGAAAAATTTTTAATAATATAATCAGATATTAATTTCATTTAATTTTAAATCAAATCAAAATCATAAGAATGAGGCATAAATTCTTCTCATAAATCATTCCTGTGATTCATTATCATTACTTATATTTTCTTTATCATTACTTAAAGGACTAGCACAGGCAGATTTCCGACTTTCTTGGGTTTGGTCAACTTGAACCATGCCCATTTCAATATTTGCTAATGCTTGTCTCAGATATTTAGATGCTACTTTATTACTTATTGTTGCCAATAATTCTGATATGCATGGTGTCAGATCCAATTTCAACTGCCCTTCTGCGTTAATATCGCATAGAGATAAAGCTTTTGATAAATCCTGTCAATGGTATAAACAATATTATATCATAAGTGGATTCGCATGTATATATAATAATTATTAAATTAAATAATGTATTTAATGCTTTAATTTATTGGGTATAATTGAAATTATATATAAAAATATTGTTCTTACATAATAGTTTTTTACATACCAATTCCAGTTCTTCATTTTTGCGAATACGCTTTAAACCATCACAAAGTATTAGAGCAAGTTGGTTATGTATACATTCATTATCGTCTCTATTCGAATGTGTTAGAGCTATTACAAGCTTTAACATATTAAAACACTCAATATGTTTCAGAGGACTTGAAGAAGGTGCTTCATACCAAATCATTACAGCGGGCATGAGTGCATTAATTAAAGCATCAGGGCCACCAGCATCACCATAACCCATAGCAGAAAATAACTAATTTAAAAAAAAAAAAATTAAAATTCAGGTAATTACTATTGTATAATATAAAATTAGCAATCAAAAATTTTAATTCCATCTAAAAGAAGTATATTTACATGGGAAAATTACTAAAATATGCTAATTTGTGCTAATATCTTAATATTGCAAATTAACAAATGTGCTAATATTAAGAATTCTTTCAATAATATTTGAACTATTTGTTAAAAATCTAAATATAATTATCATTTTGCCTTAAGGTGTTAGGGGTACATGGAATTTTTGAAAAATCGATTTTTATTTTTTTGCATTTCAAGTGTAATATCTTGCAAATGTTCTCTGAAAATTTCAAGTTGATCCGATGATTACTTTTTGAGTTATTGGACTCTTACCAGCGCGCGTTGACGCAAGTGGAGAGCTCAATACTTATACTCAAGATTATTCTCCCTCACCTGCTGATGTTTTAAAATCTTTTAAACCGATTTACGCTGATCTCAGCTATGATAATTTACTTTCAAGATGTGTAGTTCAAGATTGAATCCATAATCAGAAAAAATTAAAAGCTTCAACTAACCAATGTAAAAAATATGCCTAAAAACCGTGATTACTAGTTCTACTATCGTACAGGCTGCTGAATACATATACATAATCATTATTATTGATTATGGATACCCTAGGACCTAATTGTGGGTATAATTGCCATTGGTATGCTGAAAAATTGGATGCTGCATTTGTTAAAGTGGCAGATCAGCGCGCCAACGAGAACACTCAGGGGGCCAGAATGCCTCGTAGGCAACAGCAAATGGGAATTTTGGAAACTTGCACAATGACTGATGAACTATTATATTGCCCAGAAATAGATGACTCTGTTTAAGTAATTCAATAATTCGAATTTCTGTACGTAAATCCAATGTGAAGCTTTAAACGCGTTTTTCTCAAAACTATGTTTTTTGTACCGGTGACCACTGTAACTCAAAAATCGCTTAGTTAATTTTAATGAAATTTATACAGCTCTTAGAGTACATAATAAACTCGGGCCTTATCGAATTTTTTTTATTTTTTCGAAAATTTCAATTTTTTAAGACCAATTAACTGTTGATTTTTTACCCAAAAATCAAAGAAAAATTTTTCTGCCATTTTGTTATTTTTTGCAAAAAAAAAAAAGAAAACCTTCGATCAGGCCCAGGATTATCTATTTATAAAACTTTTTTTTTTTTTATTTGATAGATTTTAGATGAATCTCTAAGGAATTATGATGGTCACCGCTAGGACCGTTTTTTGGAACAGGGTCAACAACAAAAATAGCTATAATTTTGGGAATATTTATTATTTTTTTCTAAAATTTTTATTACTTCAAGTCAAAACATTGTATTATAATGCCGTATTAATATGTTTGTAAAAAAGCATCGTTTAATAACAAAAAAAAAATACTGAAAATTATTTTTTTGTGCCTCCAAGTACCCCTAACCCCTTAAGCAAATTATAAACTCCCCACATGTGTATTAGTATGGTCATATCAATATTAAAATCTGATAAATAACCTTATCAATTATTTTAATAATTGAAACTCAATACTAATACATTTCCTTTAATACATAATATAAGATAATGTTATTTAAATAACATTATCTTATGTATTAAAGGAAATGTATTAGTATTGAGTTTCAATTATTAAAATAATTGTTTACTCATTGCATGGAATATACTCACCAAAACAATATGTTGTCTAATATCATTATTTTCATACAAGTCCATTTCTGGATGGTGATACATCAACAGAAGATGAGCAACTATTTTATCAGATGTTATTTTATTGTTCAAGAACAATTTAATCAAGCCTTGAACCACTATAAGACGGGTAGAATGCACTTCACATTCTTGTAATAATTTCATAATAATCTAAAAAATTTATAGCATATTACAATATGAAGCAATATTAATTAATATATGATAAAGTTTTCAATTTTATTTTAAAAAGAAGCTTGGAGTATTATTGATAATGTATATACTCATAAGATAATGCAAATAATAAAATATAGAAAAAATATATCTTACATCTATAAACGCTGCAGAAACGGATATGCCTGGTGTAGCATTTAGATTAGCTCCAGGTTGAGAGCATGTCTTATCCACAATACTTCCTTCTGCTTCTCCTTCCTATATAAAAATATTGATTTATACTTCACAACAATTTAAATATAAACTAGTTGGTTTGGTATTTAGCCTTGAGGCAAGTTACATGAACATCCCGATATATGTAAATAATCGACTTAATCAATAAAAAATAAATTAATTTATGAGTGATTAAAAGTATTCCGAGTGGATTTATTACACATAATTGAAAACGAACAAACACGTTATTCGGAGTATTTTCTAAAAGCAAATTTTCAAAATTCAATATTTTTTTAATTGAACCAGTTTCTGTAGGACTTTAATGGTTTATTAAGACCAAGTACTCTATCGTTATACCAAGTGAATCGTCTAAGTTTAATTTTAACAAACGTCAGAAAAACTACTCATTTTCTCAAACTTTGATGAATTTTTAAAATTAAATTACTTGTCATAAGGCCGTAATAATTCAGCAAGTTCTATAAGACCATGGTATATATCGCTAAAAAAAAAATCCATAAAAATCGGCTTAAATTTTTTTTCAACAGTTAATTACAAGAAAACGGCTCGGTAGATTTTCACCTAAAACTAATCAGTATCATTCCCAACTAATATCTTTCGAACAGTTTTTGATATTTTAAAATCAATTCGGTAGAATGAGCTTAAATGTGGACGAAAAGTTTAACACTTTTTTCCAAATTTCAAAGAAACGACTCGGCCGATCGTCGCACAAAAGTGACAAGCGATAGTCCTCATTGGGATACATCAAACGGTTTTTAAATTTCTGAAATCGATTCAGACAATTTCTGAAATTTTGAGCAATCGTCGATGAAAGGTCTAATTTTGACAAATGCCAAAAAAACGATACTAATTTTTGCAAACTTTAACGGATTTTTAAATCTAAACGAGTTGTCGTAGGGCCGTAATATTTTAGTATGATCTAGAAGACTATGGTATCTGCCGTCAAAAAAATAATAAAAATCGTCGAAAAAAAATTTTTTAACACTTTATTACAAGAAAACGGCCCGGCCGATCTCTACCAACAACTCATCAGCACGATTCCCAATCAATATCTTTCGAACGGTATTTGAATTTTCAAGATCGGTTCAGAATTGCGGGCTAACACGTGGACAAAATTTTTTTTACTTTTCTGCTATTTACAAAGAAACGGCTTGGCTGATCGTCGCGCAAAATTGATAAACGCTAGTTCTCATCGAGATACATCGAATGGCTTTTAAATTTTCAAAATCGGTCCAGCCATTTTTGAGAAAACGTCGATTTACGGCAAAAAATCTGTTCACACACACACATACACACACACACACATACTTTTTCCAAATTTGGTCTCATTCGATTCAGAATGGCTTGAAACGTCGAGAAAACAAAATTAGCGAAGAAAAGTTAAAAAAAGTCTTCATTATTATAGTATTTGATCAGTCATACAATATGCATGTAAAAGTATATGTATTTGATAAAAATATATGTAAGCTGTTATGTAAGTGATTATTACTTTCAGCATAGTTGAATAGACAGCTTATCCCTATTGTTTTCATATAAAACTTATATAGCTTATAAATATAAAATAAATATTATAAATATAGCTTATAAATAAATAAATATAAAAAACAATTTACTTGTTCTTCCAGGTCCATTAGAAATAATCTGCGCCCCCGACGTGAACTTAGATTGGTCCCTTGACTGCTATCTTCATTATTGTCTTGGACTTCAAAACTTTCGACAGAATGTGCAAGAATCATATCAAAGACGATTTTTAGCGCCACATCTGGTATAGAATGGGGTTCATTAACAGTCACTGCTGTAGCCGCACTAATAGCATCAGTATAGCTTGACATTTGATGTGTGGGTATCATTGGCGCATCCGCAAACATTTTTGTGAAGAATATTGGGAAACAGGTCCTAGCTAAGTTCAAATCGTGAATACAATAAGCTCCTGCACAACACATTGCCCAATACTCAACCTATAAGATTCAATATAAATTGTACCATATAGAATTAAACATTTTAATAATTTAATTATATACATTAATATATATATATATATATATATATATATATATATATTATATATATATATATATATATATATATATATATATATATATATGTATATATATATACACATATATATACATATATTCAATAAGTCCTGGATTTTTTCAATATATTGATTGTTTCTTTTCCGAACAGTAAATCCAATAATAAAAAACAATTTGTTTTTTGAAGATGTTTAATAACGACGTTTCGGAACTAGGTACGTTCCATCATCAGGTTTATTCTGTCAAATACAATGTTTTTTAAAAATATTGATTAACATTAATTAATGATGGTCAATACAGATTAATTAGAAAAAAAAAATTTATAAAGGAATGGATTATGTACCGGGGTAAAGAGTAATAAGAATTAACTAAAAAAGGTTTTATATAAAATTGAGAAGCAAAAATTATTTACCTGTAATAATTTATATATCCATATCACTAATATTTTTTCGTTAAAAACACTCGATTTTTTTGGAGGATATTTGTAGATGTTACGACTACACAAGACTTAAACACACTGATATGGAGTTCTGTCGGCCAGATGTAAGGGACAATGTACGGAATTCTTGGCAAAAATGATTTTTTATGGCTCTTGTATTGGTAATTTACGAAAAAAGAGGAAATATTGCTTTAGTAAATGTTGAGAAATATTATGTATATATATATACATGCACATGCATATGCACACCTACATACTCATACATACATATGCACATATCTATATATTAATGTATCCACAATTATATACATGAACATATACGCAAGTGCATGTATATAGTGTATATACAAAAACATACATATAAGCACTTATATGGATGTGCATATATTATAACACATATACATGTATATATATACATATTCAAAAATTATTAGGATTAATTGTTTTTAATCAGGTTTAAAAAATTTAGATACGAGTCATGAATGATATTATGATGTGATCTTTTATTAACACTATTTGACGAATTCAAAAAGATTAAACTGCTTTCAGAAAAAAGTCTTTTAAAAGTACAGTCCTCTCTATATAAAATATTGGGTTCAAAGGTAAAATTATGTGAGTTTTCAATGGAATGTTGGACAAGAGTGCTTTGGAAATTTCGGCTTTTGTGATGAGTGACGCTTAATTCATGTTGTCTCATTCTCTTATGAATGTATTGTGATGTTTGGCCAATGTATTATTTTTGACAATTTTTGCAAGAGATGGAATAAACTACGTTAGTATTGAATTTAGGAGGGGTGGTGGATTTAATTTTTGAAAACATTTCTTTAAAAGAATATAGAGCTGTTCCTGAAATAAAAATATTTTCTTCTTTGAGTAATTTGGCAAAATAATCGAATAAGCCTTTAATGTAAGGCATGCTGTGAAAAGTTGGTTTAATATTGTTGTCTTGGAATAATTTGGAGATGGATTGATAATTGTTACTTTTATGATAGGAAAGTCTTTTATTGGTAATGGAATTGATGAGGGTGAGGGGATATCCGTTTTCTAGTAAAGTTTTGGGTATGAAAAGAAGAGTGAGACAACATGATTGCGTGGTCTATCAAAGAAATGATTGTATTGACTTTATAATTTTTGGGACAGTATGACGCGTAATGAAGGTATCTTCCTGACCATGTAGGTTTTCTGTACCAATTTGTGCAAATAATGTTGTCAATTTTGTGTACAGTCACGTCTAAAAAGTTCAATTTGTTGTCGATTTGTGTTTCATGTGTGAACTGAATGCTCTTATTGTAATTGTTAAAGGTATCGAGTATCATATCTGATTGTTCTTTGTCTATTATAAAAAAGTGTCATCTACATATCTAACATAAAAATATATTTGGAAATTTAATGTGAAGAAAACAGAAATTTCAAGGGTTTGTAAAACTAGGTCTATAATGCCAGGGGATAATGGGCAACCCATAGCAGTACCTTTGATTTGTAGATAAAAATTATTGAAACAATTAAAATAAGAGCGATTCAGGACAGTGTTAATGATGTGTTTGAAAGTAGTTATAGGAAAGTCGGTGTAGTTACAAATAGTGGGCCAGCGTTTTTCAATTGAATCAAGTATTAAATCATGGGAAACACATGTGAAAAGGTTAATTACATCAAGGCTTAGAAAAATTTGATCGTCCGTAATGTTTCGGTCTTTGATTAGATCCACAAATTGGTAAGAGTTCTTTACATACCAATACAAGAGCCATAAAAAATCATTTTTGCCAAGAATTCCGTACATTGTCCCTTACATCTGGCCGACAGAACTCCATATCAGTGTGTTTAAGTCTTGTGTAGTCGTAACATCTACAAATATCCTCCAAAAAAATCGAGTGTTTTTAACAAAAAAATATTAGTAATATGGATATATAAATTATTACAGGTAAATAATTTTTGCTTCTCAATTTTATATAAAACCTTTTTTAGTTAATTCTTATTACTCTTTACTCCGGTACATAATCCATTCCTTTATAATTTTTTTTTTCTAATTAATCTGTATTGACCATCATTAATTAATGTTAATCAATATTTTTGAAAAACATTGTATTTGACAGAATAAACCTGATGATGGAACGTACCTAGTTCCGAAACGTCGTTATTAAACATCTTCAAAAAACAAATTGTTTTTTATTATTGGATTTACTGTTCGGAAAAGAAACAATCAATATATACATATATATATATTACATTTATAGTTTATTAACATGCTACAAGTTCAAAATTCTTCAAGATTTCAACAAAGTAAATTGAAGGTGTAAAAAATATGAGACCAAAAAACGTTATTCTCGAAGGAAACAACAATGTAGATCAAACATTAATTTTTTAGATATATTACCTCTGAATCATTAGATGACAAATTCGGTTGAACAACGTCTTGGAACAGAATGTTCATTTCTGGTGTAGGTTTATAATCACCTAAACTCAACATACTATACAATATCATTAATATTTTTGTTAAATCTTCCGGATTATCAGTTGTAATTCTTTCTGGTTCATCAACATGACAATCTTCTAATGGAGCCATTATTATCGTACCTAGAAAAAAGAATACTCATATGTATATATATATATATATTTATATATATATATATATATATGTATATATATATATATATATATATATATATATATATGCATATATTATGTGGACAACTAACTAAATGCGGCTTTCTTATTTGGCTTAACAAAATATCAACAAATAATAACCAACTGACCACCTATCCATCAGTGCTTGAATTTTTTTTAACAAAAGATACAGGAAGACTTGAAACGTTGATGAAAAAATTAGCAAATTGTACCTGCATGCAACTCATCCAACTGCTTCCTTACTACTGCCAATTTATCATCACATTCTTTAGCTTTTGTGTAATTTTTCTCATTTAAGGCTTCTTCTCTACATGTTTCCAATTCAATTATCTCAATTTTTAAATTAGCTTTCTTCACATCAATTTCATGAGATTTTTCCACTGATGGTGCTTGCTGCTTCATTGAAAAGTAATATATCATTAATGAAAAGGTGATAATTATAATTGTTAATCTATATATTTATATATATATATATATATATATATATATATATATATAATTGAGATTAAAAGTTATTTGAGTATCTTGAAAAATATATAATTAAATAAAACTAAATTAAGTAACAAACAGAAATATGTGAATCATATTTTTCATGCCATAGCATATATCATATTTGACATGAGAAGTAAAACACTTCTGTTATTTGTATCAGATTTTTATGAAGCTGAGAATGATGATACATTTGTGCTCAAAATGGGGTAAAATAATTGAATGGGTATAATGTACAAGATTATAAATGGTTTACTAATAGTGCAGTAAACGAAGCGTTTTAGGTCTGAATTTTTTTACTGTGCTCCGAATTGAATGAAATTTTGAAATTAGGTTCATCTTACTCTCAAGTTCAGAAGTGAAAACAATTCGGGTTGCGCCATCACCCCCCGGGGGGATAACGCCCCTTCTCAATTGTGTAATTACATTTTTTGAAAATAACGTCGGACATCGATGGAAGAACTGATTATAAGAAAAAAATGTCTTTTATAGTTTTTCAAAAAAACTAATACCTTTCAAGTTATTGGCCATCAAAGATTCATATATTTTTCGCGTTTTTCTTCGTTTTTTTGCAAATATCTCCTAAAATATACATTTTAACGAAAATCATGTAATGAACAAAATAATGTCAATAAAAATCTTAATCAATCGGCATTACATAAAGTGTTTTAGGAAAAATATTAAGCAAGATTTGAAAGAGCAAAGTCGTTTTTTATTTCGTTCAAGATTTAATTGTTGTATTTAAAGCCATCTAGTGTCGAGGTTTTACATTTTATGGATTTCGGTGAAATTGGGTTTTATAGTGCTCAACATAAGCTTTAAAATGAGTGCTGTTACAAGTTTTTTGCGTGTAAAATGAGTGAGCTATCATGCAAATAAGAAGCATATACGATTTTTTTTTTCTCTTAAATCATATGGTTTAATGAGCACCATTTCCACCAGAATTAAAGAAATTCACATTCCATCTAGAATTCACTTCATCATAGACATTTTGATGGATTCTAGCAGATTCACTACTTTAGTACATACTATTTTCAGAAAACTCACGATTTTATAAAAACTTTTTTTTTAAATTTTTTTAAAAATCGAAATTATTTTCATTATATCTCAAAAAGAATAAAAGATATGAATAAAAGCATATAAATAAAAATCAAAGGGATCTTTCTGGCTTATTATTGTCTTATTATTTTTCTTTCACACAAAAATTGAGAGAGTTATGAATGTTTAAAGACGGCCGCGCAAATTGGAAAAAAAAGTTTTTATAAAATCGTTTAAAAAAGTTTAAATGCGGCCGCGCAAATTGGAAAAAAAAGTTTTTATAAAATCGTGAGTTTTCTGAAAATAGTTTGTACTAAAGTAGTGAATCTGCTAGAATCCATCAACATGTCTATGATGAAGTGAATTCTAGATGGAATGTGAATTTCTTTAGTTCTGGTGGAAATGGTGCTCATTAAACCGTATGATTTAAGAGAAAAAAAATATCGTATATGCTTCTTATTTGCATGATAGCTCACTCACTCATTTTACACGCAAAAAACTTGTAACAGCACTCATTTTAAAGCTTATGTTGAGCACTATAAAACCCAATTTCACCGAAATGCATAAAATGTAAAACCTCGACACTAGATGGCTTTAAATACAACAATTAAATCTTGAACGAAATAAAAAACGACTTTGCTCTTTCAAATCTTGCTTAATATTTTTCCTAGAACACTTTATGTAATGCCGATTGATTAAGATTTTTATTGACATTATTTTGTTCATTACATGATTTTCGTTAAAATGTATATTTTAGGAGATATTTGCAAAAAAACGAAGAAAAACGCGAAAAATATATGAATCTTTAGTGGCCAATAACTTGAAAAGTATTAGTTTTTTTGAAAAACTATAAAAGACATTTTTTTCTTATAATTAGTTCTTCCATCGATTTCCGGCGTTATTTTGAAAAAATGTAATTGCACAATTGAGAAAGGGCGTTATCCCCCCGGGGGGTGATGGCGCAACCCGAATTGTTTTCACTTTTGAACTTGAGAGTAAGATGAACCTAATTCCAAAATTTCATTCAATTCGGAGCACAGTAAAAAAATTCAGAGATTATACCCTTTTTTCCTCTCCGTTTACTGCACTATAATATAAGACCATACAGAATATGCAATTTTTTTATGGGGATCATTTTTTTTTTTTTTTTTGCATACCTTTATTGTCAATCAAAATTAAATACATTTTGAGCACCAAATTCTATCAACAAGTTTAAGATTATTATTACTATTGAATTCAAGAATTTTTCATTATTACCTTGGCTGGAACTTCAGAGGTAACAGGTACTTCATAAATGTCGTTAATCACATTTAACAATTCAGTATGCCATCCCATAAAACTCAAACAAGTTTTATGTAAAATTTTGATAATTATATTATAATGAGCTTCAATCATGTTTTTGGCATGAAGAGCATTGTGCAGTAAATAATTATTTAATTTGTGTCTTCCGACTTCATCTCCCAAGCAATCATGTAATTCAATCATTCTTAGAAATTCCAATTTACCACTAAAATTACAATAATTTGACAGTGTGTGATTATTATTATAAATAACTAATCAATATAAAGCTTAATCTAAAAACTAAAAAGAAAACTGGTGATTAAGATAAATAATATAAAGAAGATAGGATTGTTTTGTTTTCTTTTTTTAAATACAAAATAAAGTATAACATAAAATAAAAGAAACAGGTTTCTGTTACATTTTATATTGCAGTTCATTTTATATATAATTTCAATGATCAAATTCAATATAAAATCCAATAACACAAATGATTTTGAAGCTACAATGTACTGCACATAAGTATTTTAAATTTAATTCTTGTAATTAATATAAACACTTCTAAAACACTTTTTTTTTCATAACATCGTTTTCATGATTGAAACAAGAAATTTTAAATTCTTCAAATTGTTCAACTTACACATTATAGTCTAGCTGATCAAGTTTCTGCTCATTCGTAGGATTTTGTGCAGCCATAGTAGGTTCCCAATACTCATCGTAACTACAAATAAGATCAACAAGATCTGTTAAGGTTGGTAAAATTAGATCCACGTCTGCGCCAATTTCAGAACCATTTGATATAAGATATTGAACAAAACTGCGCCAATATATCAATCTTTGAGGTGACAGCTTCTCAAGTGGTGAAATTCTGCAAAATTCATAGAGAATTAGTCACATTTATCAAACAGAAGATTAACATTTATAAAACAAGCTTAGGCTTTTTTCATGTTTGAATTAATTTAAATTTTGAATTGAAACAATATTTCGAGCAAAACAAGAAACTAGTTGGTTTGGTATTTAGCCTTGAGGCAAGTTACATGAACTTCCCGATATGTGTAAATAATCGACTTAATCAAAAAAAAAAATGTGTAAATAATATACTTCATCAATCCTACTTTAACACACGATAATAATTTTAGCAAACTTTGACGAATTTGTAAAATTAAACTACTTGTCGTAAGGCCGTAATATTACAGTAAGTCCTATAAGACCATGATGTATATCGCCAAAAAAAGTTCCATGAAAATCGGCTTAAATTTTTTTTTCAACAGTTAATTACAAGAAAACGGCTCGGTAGATTTTCATCTAAAATGAATCAGTATCATTCCCAACTAATATCTTTCGAACAGTTTTTGATTTTTTAAAATCGGTTCGGTAGGATGAGCTTAAATGTCGACGAAAATTTAACACTTTTTTTCAACAGTTAATTACAAGAAACCGGCTCGGTAGATTTTCACCTAAAATTAATCAGTATCATTCCCAACTAATATCTTTCGAACAGTTTTTGATTTTTTAAAATCGGTTCGGTAGGATGAGCTTAAATGTGGACGAAAAGTTTAACACTTTCTTTTCGAATTACAAAGAAACGGCTTGTCAGATCGTTGCACAAAACTGACAAACGATAGTCCTCACCGAAATACATCAAATGGCTTTAAAATTTCTAAAATCGGTTCAGGCGTTTTTGAGAAAACGTCGATTAAAAGTCTAATTTTGACAAATGCCAAAAAGACCGACCATACTGATTTTTGCAAACTTTGACGAATTTTTAAAACTGAACTAGAAGACTATGGTATCTATCGTCAAAAAAATAATCATAAAAATCGTCGAATGTTTTTTTTTTTAAACTTTATTACAAAAAAACGGCCCGGCCGACCTCTACCAAAAACTAATCAGCACGATTCCCAACCAATATCTTTCGAACGGTTTTTGAATTTTCAAAATCGATTCAGAATTGCGGGCTAAAACGTAGACGAAATATTTTTCACTTTTCTGCCATTTATAAAGAAACGGCTTGGCCGATCGTCGCACAAAACTGACAAACAATAGTTCTGGTCGAGATATATCGAATGGCTTTTAAATTTTTGAAATCGACCCAGCCGTTTTCGAGAAAACGTCGATTTACGACAAAAAATCTGTTCACATACACACACACACACACATACTTTTTCCAAATTAGGTCTCATTCGATTCAGAATGGCTTGAAACGTCGAGAAAACATAAAATTAGCGCATCGGATTTTTTGATGAAAACATAAACTTCTCCTTCGGGAAGTTAACAAGCTCTCAAACTATGCTAGTGATAAATTAGTTCAAACTTCCACACTGCCAGAAATACAAACTGAAAAATTAGTTTACATTTTTTGGGCAACATCAAAAAATACTTTGAAATTAATTGTTATGAATAATGTCATGAAAGCATGTCATGAAATATAATATTAAACAGCATATAATATATATTTAAACATACCTCTTCTCATCATCCAAGTTTAAATCATTATATAATTCTTGCAATGGTAAAAGTTTAAATAAAACATTTAGAACGTTTTCTATCACAGTATCATTCTCTTCTTTTTTCTTATCTGTTGTATCATGTCTAATAGTATCGATAAGATATACAACAGATTTATCAGACTGATTGAGCCAAGATGGTAATAGTGTTTTTTCAATAAAGTTTTTTATTTTATCAGAACCATCTTGAAAACCTCTGAAAATAAAATTGACTTGTAAATTCTAAGTTCAACTTAAAAACAATTCCAAGTGTGCACAATTTCATACATGAAAAGTAGCTTGTGCCTTTGGGCCAATTTAATAGATCTTAAAGGCATTTGAAGGATCCTTTCAAACGCAAGCAAACGAACCCCTTCGTCAACATCCATTATTCGTGAAATTATTGCTTCTCTGGTGAATTGAGAATAACCTATGCAATAAATAAAAATATACACTACATAAGCCTTAGTTTTTATCACCTAAAACAATATATTAAACTTTGTGTTAGAAATACTTCAAATGAAGTTCAGCATATTAAAAATGAATGAAAACTTCATAAAAAAAATTTGAAGAGAAAGAAAATTATATGAAACTTTTATAAAAATTATATTATTTAGTAAAATATAAGAATATAGTTATTAACTTCCCGAAGGAGAAGTTTATGTTTTCATCAAAAAATCCGATTCGCTAATTTTATGTTTTCTCGACGTTTCAAGCCATTCTGAATCGAACGAGATCAAATTTGGAAAAAGTATATGTGTGTGTGTGTGTGTGTATGTGTGAACAGATTTTTTGTCGTAAATCGACGTTTTCTCCAAAAACGCCTGAACCGATTTCAAAAATTTAAAAGCCATTCGATGTATCTCGATGAGGACTATCGTTTCTGAGTTCTGTGCGGCGATCGGCCGGGCCGTTTCTTTGTAAATTGCAGAAAAGTGAAAAGTTTTTCGTCCACGTTTTAGCCCGCAATTCTGAATCGATTCTGAAAATTCAAAAACCAATCGATAGATATTGGTTGGGAATCGTGCTGATTAGTTTTTGGTAAAGATCGGTCGGGCTGTTTTCTTGTAATGAAGTTTTAAAAAAAAAAATTCGACGATTTTTATGATTTTTTTTTTGACGGTAGATATCATAGTTTTCTAGGTCATACTAAAATATTACGGCCCTACGACAACTCGTTTAGCTTTAAAAATTCGTCAAAGTTTGCAAAAATTGGTATCGTTTTATTGACATTTGTCAAAATGAGATCTTTGATCGACGTTTTCTCAAAAACGCCTTGACCGATTTCGGAAATTTAAAAGTCATTTGATGTATTTCGGTGAGAACTATAGTTTGTCAGTTTTGTGCGACGATCTGCCAAGCCGTTTCTTTATAATTTGAAAAAAAGTGTTAAACTTTTCGTCCACATTTAAGCTCATCCTACCGAACCGATTTAAAAAAATCAAAAATTGTTCAAAGATATTAGTTGGGAATGATACTGATTAGTTTTAGGTGAAAATCTACCGAGCAGTTTTCTTGTAATTAACTGTTGAAAAAAAAATTTAAGCTGATTTTTATGGATTTTTTTTTAGTGATGTATACCATGGTCTTATAGAACTTACTGAAATATTACGGCCTTACGACAAATAGTTTGATTTTAAAAATTAAACAAAGTTTGAAAAAATGAGTAGTTCTTTTGAGATTTGTTAAAATTAAAATTACACTATTTACTTGGTATAATGATAGAGTACTTGGTCTTGAACATAATAAACCATTAAAGTCCTGAAAACTGGTTCAATTATATAAATTTTGCTTTTAGAAAATACTCCGAGTCAAAGTGTTCGTTCGTTTCAATTATGTGTAATAAATCCACTCGGAATACTTTTAATGACTCATAAATTAATTTATTTTTTATTGATTAAGTCAATTATTTAAACATATCGGGAAGTTCATGTAACTTGCCTCAAGGCTAAATACCAAACCAACTAGTTTATGTTAACTATTAGCAACTTATGTTCAATATTGTACAGTAAAAATAAAAATATAAAGAAAAATACTTATGGATAAGAAAATAAAAACAGGATTGAAGTTATAATAGGTTCATGCATCTTTGACTTGTGCTAAAAATATTAACAAAAACATACCAATATTTTCTAAGACAGCTTTCCTAACAACAACCGAAGGATCACTTTTTAAATGATATTTGTATGTTTTGCATATTAAATCATCTTGATTGTGTGGATTTTGTAATCTTTTGCCAGTGTGAATTGCTTCTGCCCGTATCTAAAAAAAAAAAAACTATTAACATATACGCAACATTTTCTTTTATAATATATTTTTAACTTCCCGTAGGGCAAGTTATAGTAATCGCAAAAAAATCGAAAATGAAAATTTTTATATATCTTTACGTTTCAGAGGTTTCTGAATATTTTGGCATACCTTAGAAAAAATGGATGTATGTGTGTGTGTGTGTGCGTGTATGTATGTGTGTGCGGATACAAATTTTCGTCGACGATTTCGGGAACACGGATGAAGCAATTTGATTAATTCAAAAAACATTCGATTCGTATTGATAAGGAGACGTGCTGATTACTTTTTGGCGGAGGTAGGTCTAGCCGTTCCGAAGATATGAGGCAAAAAGTGCCAAAAACGGTACCTCAGTTTTTAAGAGAACGGAGCGTCCGATTTTAATAATTCAAAAAACATTTTACTTGTATTGACAAGATGAAAAATTGATCAAAATTTCATAAGGGCAGATCTAGCGTTTCGGAGATCTAACGAAAAAAGTAAAAAAAATGCCATTTTGGCGGTCAAAAATGATCATTAGACATATGCACATCAAATTATCAGATATTTTATAGAGATTTTAACAATAAGTATAAATTTTGTTTACATTCCTATGGGTTCCGTACCAATGTTTACCCGTTAAAAAGCGACGCGGCGCTTACGCGCTTTATATTTTATCTCTTTGCAGTTAAAGAAGTACGATTGCTTTGAAAAAAAAGCTCAGATCTTCTAAAATATGTCAAAATAAAAAAAACTTTTTTTTTCAAAACAAGTAATTTTTTGTCAAATTTATAGTTTCTCAAAAATCATATTTTTTTGAAGTAATTTTTTTTCAAAAATGTTAATCGTTTTTAAAAAAATAATAAATTTTGGTACGGGAAGTTCCAGCAATTTGCCTTAAGGCACGATGTCCTAAAGTTTTGCACTTACAGCTAGTCTAACTTTATTTCAAACCACAGTGTGCTAAATATCCACTTTTAATGGGATATTGTTCATCTATATTTTTAAGTATTAGTTTAGTTTCCAAAATATAAACTCTATAATAAAATATGTTACTAATATGAAAAATAAATACAATTTCACTCACTTTGTTCTTAACATCCTGAGCGCGTTCTAAAACACATTTAGTTAAGTCATCAAACATATCGTCATCTATAGATCTATCACCCATATTATTCAATATTATATTAATAAATTGTAACGATAGTTTTCTTGTATCACTACATTCGGCACATGATATTTCCATAAGAAATCGTAGCATGTTTTTCATTAACCCATGCATTTCAGCTTCTTTTCCAAAGGTAGTATGAAACATTGTTTGATGTTCTTTCTCTATATTATTCAAAAATAATGCTATAAACTCCATAAAACAAATCACCTAAAACAACAAAATTACAAATTGATTGCAACTCTAAAGGCTTAATAAATGATAAAGGGGCCATTCAAGTATTACGTAAGCACTATAGGAAGGCAGGGGGATTATTGATTTGCTTATTTTGGTGACAAAGGGGAGGGGGGGTGGTTTTAAATAATTGTAATAAATCTGCTTACGTAATACTTGAATGATCCCAAGTATTATAAAAACCTGTGGCATGTCATCTCCGAGAGCAATGTGCTTTTTAGATAAAATAACTAATATGTCGAATAGACGGTCTTCAGCTGTTTTGCTTGCAATTTTTTGGGCTTCTGCAAGATATTTATGATGTGTTGTATTTGACTTTGAAGCTTCCACCACAATAGCACCGAAAGCTAAATAAGTCTTATCCTTTAGTAATGTTGTTTGTTTCTTAGCAGGTCTTCTAGGGCGCTTCATGTTGTAATTTTTCACGATATTAAATTTTATATAAAATAATTATAACTGCAACTGCTGTCAATTATTGTTTTTAATCGGGTAGCATAACGAATATTTCGAATTGACGTTAAACTGAAACAATGAATTCTGTAGTGAGCATCGCTAAACAACTAATCTCTGTGTCTAACAAGTTAAATCGAAAAATCCTGCACGAATCTTAACTTGCAAACTCAGAAAATGAATTGCAACATTTGAACTCAAGTGTAAATGTCTATTATTTATTCTCTAGGGATTAAATTTTAACAATCAAACTATCGTATTGACCCACAACAAAATAATAACGCGTTGAAGAAAAGTCATGTCAAAACGTGAACATTGCGTTTTGCATGACATGTCGCCAACATAACAATAACGCGTCGTTCTGACAGTACGAACGACGCGCGCGAAGTTTAAATTCACAGTTAGAACTTTGAATAATTCTGTCCAAAATTTATTTATTGTTAGATGTTATATTTATTTAACAGTTGTAATAAATATTGTAATTAAAATAAAAACTAGTGGGGTGTATAGCATCGTGCCTTAAGGCAAATTGCTGGAACTTCTCGTACCGTAACGAAATGTTCGAGGAATACTGAATGTTTTCAAATAGATTATTATATTAATATTGTAACATTGTCTAATATTTATAAAAATTATATAAATTGAATTGCAAAATTGAAATTATTTGTTTAAAGTATATTAGAACTATAGTCAGAATTAAAAATTATATATAAAAAAATGATACAAATTTAAATCAATTATTTTGTTAGAACAAGCTGAAAGTTCTTTGAATCATTTAAATTGGACGCTTAGTTCTCCCATGAACTGCCATCTTTTGCACATTTAACTCTGTGTCTTCGAAATGGCTGGGCCTGCCATTGCCAAAAACTAATAATCACTTCTCCCAATCATTACTAATTGAAAGCTTTTTAGATCATTCAAATCGGATGCTCCGTTTTCTCAAGAACTCGATTTCTATTTTCTGCACTCTTTGCTGCGTTTCTCCGTAACGGCTGGACCTGCCTTTGCCAAAAACTAATCAGCTCTTCTCCCTATCAATAGGAATCGAATATTTTTTGAACCATTCAAATCGGTTGATCCGTGCGCCCGAAAACGTGACCGGAAATTTGTATCCATACATACATACACACCACACATCCATTTTTTCTGAAGTATGCCAAAATGTTCAGAAACCTTCAAAACGTCGAGAAATGTAAAAAATTTCAATTTCGATTTTCGGCCCATTACAATAACTTACCCTACGGGAAGTTAAAAATAAAAAAAATATTTTTAAAACAATTCCTAAACTTGTTATTTATATTTCGTACACTTTGTGCAATTTATAATTTGTCAAAAAGGCGCTTAATTTCAAATTGATATTTTTAAAATGATATATGTACTACTTTATATTTAATAAAATTATACACAAATAAATAAAAATTTATTTTTATAATTTACGGTAATCTCTACTTTCACATAAATGTAAAAATTAATTCAACATTAAAAACAATTAAATTATTAACAGACCTTTGTAATTTTTTAAACATATTATAATTTAATAAAATATTTTCATAACAATGGTGATTTTTATGTTTATAGAATTAAATTGTTACTTAATATATTATTATTATTAATAATATATAATATTTATAAATTTAGATTTTTATTAAATATTCTATATTTCTAAAAAGTTCTTAAACATTTTGTAAAAATTGCCTAATTTAATATTTAAAATTTGTATTAAAATTTGTGATGGTAAAAATCTTATTAATTTATTTTATCAATGTATTAGACAGTTTATTTATGAGTTAAATAAATATATCATATTAAATATCATATCATATATATTATTAGAAAGTTCTTAAACTTGTTATTCACATTTCGTAAACATTGTCTAATTTATGATTCAAATTGTGTAAAAATCTTATTGATTTATTCTATCAATATCTCAGACAGTTTATTTATTAGCTAAATACATCTGGACAGTTTTTGTGATAAATATAATAATTCAATTGTTAGAACTGTTGAAATGATAGCAAAAACTTTAAACAGTATTCAAATGCACTAAAATAAAATTGTTAATATGTCAATTATTTTTTTAAGCTATTACATTATCAATCAATAATCATATTCGTTAATAATTAATTAAAATTTCTTTTATACATTTCAGAAAACAAAGATACAATTCATCTTTATATGTTTGACTACTAATAAATCTTCATCAATTCCTTTAACAATAATATTCTTTGTATTATAATATATCTAAATATAATATAAACAAATAAAGTACAATATATACAATAAACAAGAATAAATACAATATTTATTTATAACATAATACCATATAAAACTTTGGTAAAACAATAAAATAAAATATTCAGATCAACTTATTAAACACTTATATAAATAAATATTTCAAATTATTGAAGATTGTCGATACTATATCTTCTTTATCTAATTATATTTCAATACATTATATTCTTTTCATTTATCTTCCAACAGTGAGAATATTAGTTTCATCAATTTTGTCCCTCGTAGCTTTGTAAGCCTCACGTTCTTGATCAGGATATTTAGTCGGCAAGTTGGGTGAATGGAGATTCACTTTTGCATTATATCTAAATAGATAAAATAGTAAATAAATAAAGAATTATATACATATAATTAATTAAATACTCTCAATATGGATAATAAAGTTATAATTATATAGTTATGGATATATTTGTTGTAAGTATTATTATTTTATATCATTAGTAATATTTTGTATCATCATCATGAAAAATTGTCTGATGGAAAGAAAAAAAAGATATCAAGTGATTTAAATCTAACAAAAAGATTCCAATAAAGAAACCAAGGAAAAAATTATAAGAATTCTTTTAGAGAATTTATTTTAAAGATAGTGATTAGATAATATTATAATTAATTATTAATAAAATTAATTAGAAATAAGTCAAGTATCAGTGATATACTAAATAAATAAGCAAAATTGTCACCAATTTGCTATTTTTTTATACCTGATGCCAGCAATATCAACTTCATAATCTCCTGACAAAATGTATTCATTGCTTACTCGTTGCATGTTTCCTTCAGCATCTAAATTCATCACAAAACCTAAACAAACCTAAAACAAAAACAGAAAATTATAATATTTAATTATATATATATATATATATATATATATATATATACATAATTTTTTATAACATATTTCAATTTATTACCTGTTTCTTAAATGTGAATCCATATCCAGTAGTCGTAGTCATCCCACAATAAACCCCATTTCTAAATATTGGTTCACCGCCCCAACTCCAAATGTCTGTTTCGTGATCATGATCATTTAGCAACAACTGAACATACATTTTTTTCACACCTTCTTGCTTCTGTTTTAATAAAGCTTCTCTTCCAATAAAATCTACACCTTTCTAGAAAAGAAAAGGAAATTTGAAAATAAAATTTGTTAAATGGAAGAAGTGATAAATTAATAAACCCAAAAGTATCATTAATAATAGGCTTTAGCTCCTTTGAATTCAATATCTTAACATTAAATAATGGCTATTAAATAAGTTTTCGAAAACATTTTTAATTTAAAACCTTTGAAAAATAATTTCTTAGTTGACTTCAAAGTGTGTTTTTAATTAAAAAATCTTAATAAGTAATTCTTAGTTGAGTTTAAAATTAATAACAAGTTGTTAATTATCTACTCTCTAAAATGTATCTATTTATCATAAGTATTTTTCCTTTTTACATCAAATTTAACTCTCCAAGCCCTTCCACATTCCAATGGAGTAGTAGCAGTATCCAAATCTTGGCCCCAAAAAGCATAAAATTTCTCGATTCGAAGTGCTCTCATTGCATAGTAACCTGCATGTCTCAAACCATATTTTTGACCGGCTGTTATTAGCTCACTGTACACATGCAGAGCAAACTGGAAATAGAAAAATATAATATACTAAGTTACTATACAGAATATTTTTATTTTACTTAAATAATATTAATATTATTATACATAATAATATGATTTCAAGCCCATGCTCAGCAGGGGGTTGTTATATGCCTATTTTGTAAGTTTTGATACTTCTCCATGGCTATTTTGGTTTCTTTTATTTTCAAATATGTTAAAATTATATTTCTGAATATGGGATAATATGGATTTATCTATTATACAATATTATAATTGCAATGTTATATTATTCACAGATGATCTCTTTATAACTTTCTTTCTCTATCTCTCTATCTACCACTCATATTTTCTCTCTTAATCTAATATATCGATACATCCATTGATCTTTATCCACCTCTTTTTTTCCCTATCAAACTATCTATCTATTTATAACTTGTTTCTTCTTTCTTAAACTAAGTAAACTATTTATTTTTCTACTATTATCACATCCATTTTTTTACTGCTTTGTCCAGAAAGAAACTAAAATAAAACTAGTGGGGTGTGTGGCATCGTGCCTTAAGGCAAATTGCTGGAACTTCCCGTACCGTAACAAAATGTTCGAGGAATACTGAATGTTTTCAAATAGATTATTATAAATATTGTAACATTATTGTAATTATTTTCGATATACAAAAAACAAAAAACAAAAAAAAAATTATACAATTTTTTTTTCCAAAATCAATTATTTTCTTAAGACAAGCAGAAAGTTCTATGAATCATTTAAATCGGACGCTTAGTGCTCTCAAAAACTGCCATTTTTTACATATTTAGCTCCGTATCTTCGAAATGGCTGGGCCTGCCTTTGCCAAAAACTAATAAACACTTCTCCCAATCATCACTAATTGAATGTTTTATAGATCATTCAAATCGGATATTCCGTTCTCTCAAAAAGTCGATTTCTATTTTCTGCACTCTTTGCTGCGTATCTCCGTAACGGCTGGACCTGCCTTTGCCAAAAACTAATCAGCTCGTATCCCTATCAATAGGAATCGAATGTTTTTTGAACCATTCAAATCGGTTGATCCGTGCGCCCTAAAACGTGACTGAAAATTTCCATACATACATACACACACACACACACACACATCCATTTTTTCTGAAACGTTCAGAAACCTTCAAAACGTCGAGAAATGTAAAAATTTTCAATTCCGATTTTCGGCCCATTACAATAACTTACCCTAAGGAAGTTAATATGAGTTTATTTCATCCTATTTTCATTTTCAAATTCGAGGTTTCTCTTCTTCATTACTTTTACTATTATTATTATTATTATTTACCTCATTCGGTATATATAAAACATATCCCAATTCTCCGGTATGTGTCAAATTCATAGCCCTGATCCCATTAGCCAAACCGACATCCAGTTGTTTAAAAGTGAAGAAAGGGAAATTCTTAGGGCTCAAATCAGTATCTGTTAACTCAGACAGTAATATCCTTGTAAAGGGTCCCATTATGCATATCGCCGTGTAGGCTGATGTCACATCAGAAATTGCCACTGAACCATCGGATGGTAAGTGTCTTTGGATCCAGGTTTTGCACCTTGTTTGTTGGATAGTTGGAGCAATCATCATATAACTAGAGATAAAAGAAATATTAAATTATATAAATAATAAATAGATAGAAAAAAAAGAGGTAGATAGACTGATAGTTAGGGGAGAAAATGTGATTAAGATAATTATTTAAAAAGAGATAAATAGAAAAAAAAAGAATATTCATAGACAGATAGAGAGAGATGGAGAAGAAGTTCCATTTCCATTTCCACTTACTGGTTTTCTGCAAGTCGGGCCAAAGAGCAATCATTCTCATAACCACCTTGCCGGTTCTGCATACCTGTATGAATGATGCTGCCGATTGGAACATTTACATCGTTGGAACACAAGTATTGAAGAGTGTCTACTACTTCTGTACCTTTCGACTGGAAATAGAAACATAAAATTTAAAGTAACGAGCATGAACTACTTCTGTGCCTTTTGACTGAAAATAGAAACATAAAACTTAAGGCAACTTGTATGAACTACTTCTGTATCTTTTTTACTGCAAATAGAAACATAAATTTTAAGGCAACTTGCATGAACTACTTCTTTACCTTTTGACTGAAAATAGAAACATAAAACTTAAGGCAACTTCGAAATATTTTAATAATCCAAGAAAACATGAGTGATGTTCCAATAACAGGACTTGTCTCAGAACTTATAATAGCAATTTAAGTTAAAAATTCCACAAACTTTCACAAAATTCTAAAAAAAGAACATGACTGCTTACCATGTTGTCCAAACCTAACAGAACGCTTTCCCATACATATTTCCTTAGGCTTGGATAAGTATGGTAAGCGTTACTACAATATTTTTTGGTAAAAATGCAATTAATGAGTTTTATTGTTATGAACAAAGTGCATTGTTAAAAATTAATGGGGCAATTCTGCCTCATAACATAGTTTTATCATTATAATGCTATCTTATGCTTGTTTATTGGTAGTAAAAAGTCTATTTAGAGAAATATAGATAGAGAAAAGGACATACGAGTTAGATTGATAGTTGGAAAAGATAGATAAAGATATTTGCTGTCTGATCAGGTGTATTTCACATATAAACAAGCAAGGAAGAATCTTATGATAACTGCATCATTGAAGATTCTGTCTGCAAATAAATAAGCATAAGATAGCGTTGCCATGACAACGCTATGTAATGAGGCAGAATAGCCCAATAAGTTCAAGAGATTTAAGACAGAAATGTTAATAATATTACAAAAAATAATTAAATTAAAATAACGTTAGAAACATATAAAAATTATCCATTTTTTCACAAATTTGCCAAATAGTTGACTTAGGGCAAAGTTGCAAGTAATAATGAGGCCTCTTAGGCACTCGGCAATTTTTTATAATTAAACCACTTTTCCCAAGCCTATAATATTTGAGGATTTTCGTTGAACTACATCATACACTATCACTATGCAAGGTTTTATTAAAATTTAAAAACGGCCTGGCCGATCTTTACTAAAAGCAAATTTCTAACTAGTATTTGGAAGCTTCGGAACAAACAGTATTTGGATTTTCAAAATCGTATCAGAATTTTTGGCAAAAATTTGGACGAAACATTTTGCACTTATCTGGCAAATACATTCAATTTTTGTCTTACACACATACTTTTTCCATTTTCGTTGCCAAAAGATTCAGAATGACTTGATATATAAAGTTAGCAAATCGGATTTTCTGGCTAAAACAATCTTCTTCATCCGGAAGTTAATCACATAATTAATATAATCTTAAAATTATTAATCAACTTTTTATTCTACATTATTGAATTAACCCTTTCCACTCGCAAATTCAGGAATTAATATGTATTTCGGCGGGTTAATAATTTTAAAGATTTATGTAACTATTCAATAAAACTATCATACTCCACAACATGGAGATCATGACTCTACTGAGCAAGATCCTGAAAAGAAAAGGAAACTGGTTCGGATCCATTCTACAAAAAGAGTGCCTCCTGCGCGACGTCGTCCAAGACAAAATGGGAGGACTGAAAGGATTAGGAAGAAGAAGAATGCAGATGGTTGATGACTTACGCGAGGAGAGGAAATACAGAGAACTGAAAGCCGAAAGCACAGGACCAGAAAGCAAGAAAGCAGAAAGGAAAATTCATGAAAACAAATGTAAAGTGATTAATAGTCATTAATTATTGGTAATAAAACGGTAATGAGAATAATAAACAAGGAAGGAGAAGAAAATCATTGATTTTGTGGTGATCTCATACCAAGGACCTGCCTTTAGTAACACTACTATTTATTATTATTATTATACCACAACAGCTCGATATTTAAGTTATTAAATATAACTAACTTACCCATAGGTCAATTTTAGTAAACGATGAATAGTCACTAAGTCCAACTTTCTCTCGACAAGCTGCATATTCCTCACTCACAATATCAAACCAATGAGGTTTGTTAAAAGTATTCGTGTAAGCTATCTTGTAAGGTCTTGAAAACTCGTTTGATGAATCTGGAGATTAAAAAAATACAGATTAGAAATAGAACTTATTGTTTACCATCATTATTCCATACTTATAAAACAAACAAGTATCTTGACTATGTTTAGTAAAACACCCAACTAATTCACCAAAAAATGTTTCACAAAAATTTGTCATCTGGTTCTTTTTACCCCATAGGCTTCAGGACAAGGTCCAACGCCTTATTTTTAATATTAAATGGACCTTTAAGCCCCGCTATACCTTGTACTTAAAATATTATTTTTTGACAACAATAACTTTAAATTTAAATAATTTTATCCTAACTATTATTACCTTCATTTGGTGGATCAAAGTAAGCAGGTCTCTCGTAACCCATAACTTGTCCAAAAACAGCACCAGCTTCTCGAAGTGCTGGATATATTGGAGACATTCTCAAATTCCGTCCTGTTTGGTACTCCGGAAAAGGATATTTCAAACCATAATGCATACCTGGTAATAAAAACAGCTATTAATACTGCTACTCCAAAATCTTCTTCATTGTATATTTTACCGGGTACTTCTCTGACTCTATCCCTCAAGAACTTTCTATTATTGTGCAGCCCTAGAAATCTATTAATGTCTAATTCATAAGTATCAAATCTGGTGTACCCTTGTGTAATAACTTCTGCTATGGAAAGTCCAACACCACCAGCCGAAGACATTCCTACGGTCTTCATGCCAGCTGCCACCAAATAATTTTGAATCTAGAAGAAATAGATTTTTAGACTCAAAACAATCAAAATTGCAATATTAGGTAAAGAGATTTTTACTTCTGGGCTTTCTCCCATGATCCATCTTCCATCTGGTGAAAAAGCTTCAGGTCCATTAGACAGTCGTTCCAAAACCGCATCTTCTAAAGTAGGAACTCTTTTCAACATTTCTTCAAGCAGGACATAAAAGTGATCCCAGTCTTCTGGTAAAACTCGTTCAAAATTTGACACTTAAACAGACAATTGGATATGAATACTCATGATGTTCTGGACTTCCAAAAATTAATTTATTACTTGGTATGACTCCATCCTCATAAGCAGGTTTAGCAATAACTTCAAATCCACCAGCCATCAAATGTCCATCCTTTTCTCGGAAGTAAATGTGTCCATCCAAGTCTCTTACCACAGGTGTATTAGGGTCCAAGTTTGGTATCTTCTTGGTGTGCAGATAATAATGCTCAACAGGGTGTAAAGGAACCTAAAAACCAAGAATGGTAAGAAGAGATTTTGATTAAATTGGATTCATTTACTACCTTGACATGTGGTTCGGACATCTGGCCGACTTTTCTGGCCCAAAAACCAGCACAATTAACAAAGTAGACACATTCCACAAAGCCAGTGCCAGCTTTAACAGCGACTACTTTGCCCCCTTCCTGGATCACACCGGTTACTGGACAGTGTTCCACCACTTGGACACCTGGAAAATATGGTAAATGGAATCAATTTACAACAGTAAAGGACTGAAGTCGGCTAATAAGCTTTTTGATCTTTACCTCCAAGTTTTGCTTCGTTTATCAATGTCATACAGGTCTGATATGGATCAGCAACGCCGTCTCCGGGAATCCAGAGCCCCCCGACAAGATCATCCGTACGTAGGAGGGGGCACAAGTCTTTGCACTGCTTTGGAGTCACCAGTTCACAGTTGATGTTCCAGGAACTGCAAGATTTTTTTTGCACAATTCACTAACTGTGAGTACACCATTTTTTGTAGAGTCTTTTGATGTTGAAAGTTAGAAAATCTTGAAAGTTAGTTAATTTTGGATAAATTTGTCTGGTCTATTTAAGAAAAAACTAGTTGTATATAGTCCAATAGGAACTTCTCGTATTAGAATAAATTTAGTAGACGAATAACAATTAATATATATTAATATACTGATCAGAGACAGATACTGTATGAGAGAGATCAGAACAAGCATCGCAAGAGCCAAATTGGCGTTCACAAAAAGGAGAACACTACTGACGAGGAAAATAAATCTCGACTTGCAGAAGAGAATAATAAAGTGCTTTGTATGGAGCATAGCTCTGTATGGATCGGAGACATGGACTCTAATAAAGCCCGACAAAAATTAACTACCTCGAAAGTATTAAAATGTGGTGCTGGAGGCAAATGAGAGAAGATAGAGTGAACAGACAAAATGAGAAATGAAGAAGTCCTGAGAAAAGTGACTCTACTGAGCACGATGCTGAGAAGAAAAAGAAACTGGATCGGACCCCTTCTGCAAAAAGAGTGCCGTAAATAAAAGGAATGAAAAGAATAGGAAGAAGAAGAATGCAGACGATTGATGACTTACGCGAGAAGAGAAAATACAGGAAACTGAAAGACGAAGCGCAGGATCAAGAAAAATGGATCCAGAAGTTTGGAAAGAAAAATACATGAATATAAAAGTGGGAGGGGGGGGGGGGAATTAGTGGTAATGGGAATGATAGACGAATGGTAAGGGAATCATTTATTTGTGGTGGATCTCACACCATGAACCTGTCTTCGGGAGGACTACCATTTATTATTATTATTATTATATAATATAACAAGGACAAATTAGCATATAGAACTTAATAACTAGTAGTGCCTCAAGGCAAATTGCTGGAACTTCCCGTACCATAATTAAATATTCTAAGAACAATTTTAGAAAAAAAAATTTAAGGTATTAAAAAAAATAAAACCATTTTTTTCAAAATAAATTGTTTCGTCAACACAACCGAAAAGTTATTTGAATCATTCGAATCGGATACTTAGTTCTCTCAAAAACTGCCATTTTTTGCACATTTAGCTCTGTATCTCCCAAACAGCTAGACCTGCCTTTGCTAAAAACTAATCACCACCTCTCCCCATAATAAGGAATTAAATGTTTTTTGGATCATTCAAATCGGATGCTTTGTTCTTTCAAAAACTCGATTTCTATTTTCTGCATTTTTTGCTCCGTAACTCCAAATCGCCTTCGCCAAAAACTAATCAGCACATCTCCCTATCAATAGGAATCGAATGTTTTTTGAATCATTCAAATCGGTTGATCCGTGCGCCCAAAAACGTAGACGATAAATTGTATCCATACATACACACACACAACCATTTTTTCTGAGGTATGCCAAAATGTTCAGAAACCTTTGAAACGTGAAGATAGACAAAATTTTTAATTTCGATTTTTGGACGATTACAATAACTTACCCTGCTAAAAATTAATAACAAAAACAACTCTTGAAAAATCAAACAAATGTAATACAATGATAAAATAATGTTTATTTACTACAATTATTTACAAATACTACAATTCATCAAAGATACAATATTCATATTGACTATTAAATTACTTAATTAAAACAAAACCAGTATATTTTTTACAATATATAATTTCTCAATCAACATTTTTATGTTTATGTTTCTTCTGGTGCCTAATGAGACTCCTCAGGTGTATAAAAGTGCTACTACAAGTCCCACAATCAAAAGGACGATCCTTAGCATGAATCTTCATATGATCTTTCAGATTCCCCGCTTTTTTAAAGCCCACACCACAAGTCTCACATTTGAAAGGACGTTTATTTGAATGAACAACCATATGTTGCCTCACATTACTCGCATAAGCAAAAGTTTTATCGCATACATCACATTTGAAAGGTCTCTCTCCGGTGTGGATAACCTGATGCACTTTTAAATCATTCAAGAATTTAAATTGTTTACCACAAGTTTCACAAGTATGCTGTCGTTCATCAGAATGTGTGAACATGTGTCGTTTTAAAACATATAAATGGGTAAATTTCCTACCACATTTACCACATTCATGTAAACGTGCAGCATGGGTAAGTACATGTGATTTTAGTGATGCACGATTTGCAAGGATTTTACCACATATATCACAAGAGTGAGGAAGTTGTTTAGAGTGAAATTCAGTATGTCTTTTTAATCTGCTTGAAGTAGAAAATGATTTAGAGCATATTTCACAAGTGACAGTATGTTTATTGTTGTGTGTTTGTGCATGTCTTATTAATTTTCTTCGGCTATTGAATGTTTTATTACAGATTTCACATTCATGAAGTCTTTCTTTGATTTTATTTAAAGGTTTTACAGGTACCTCATCAGCATTTTTATTTATTAATGACTTCTCAGAATGTGTTGTTAAATGTTGGGCTAATGTGATAGGAGTATCAAAAGTCTGTTTGCATATTTCACATATACTATCTTGTTTAGTATATTTTTCTAATGCTGCATCAGACTTCATAATGAGTTCTGAGCATGTTGTGTTATCTTCTGGAGAAGATACTTGTTTCATATCAGATGAAATATTGGATTCTTCGTTTATAAAATGATTTGCAATATTCATTAGATATTGCAAAGCCTCAAATTCTGTTTCTTCAGACATATTTATCAACTTTATACCTTTTTAAGGTGCTCCTTGTAAGACACAGCTATTCTAAACAAAATTCTGGTTTAACATCAGCTGAAATATCAAATTCTTGCTTTATGGAATGATTTATAGCATCCAATGGCTCAGTGATATATTCTGTATCATTTAACAACAACTTTGGTTCTTTAGATGTATTTTAAATACTGACTTTAAATAATAGAATCAACTTTATACCTTTTTAAGGTGCTCCTTGTAAGACACAGCTATTCTATACAAGATTCTGGTTTAAAGTTAGCTGAAATACCAAATTCTTGCTTTATAGAATGATTTATAACATCTAATTGCTAATCGATATATTCTATATCATTTAATCTTCTGATGTATTTTATATACAGACTTTATATAATAGAATCGACTTTATACCTTTTTAAGATGCTCCTTGTAAGACACAGCTATTCTAGACAAAATTCTGGTTTAACATCAGCTGAAATATCAAATTCTTGCTTTATGGAATGATTTATAGCATCCAATGGCTCAGTGATATATTCTGTATCATTTAACAACAACTTTGGTTCTTCATATGTATTTTATATATTGACTGCATATAATAGAACCAACTTTATACCTTCTTAAGGTGCTCTTAGTAAGACACAGCTACTCTAGACAAGATTCTGGTTTAATATCAGATGAAATATCAAATTTGTAGAATGATTTATAACATCCAATGGCTCATTAATATATTCTATATCATTCGATAACAACTTTAGTTCTTCAGATGTATTTTATATACTGACTTCTATATATAATAGAAACAACTTTAAACTTTTCTAGAGGGCTTCTTTTAAGATGTACAGAAAGTTTTATAATTCAAGATTTATTATGATCTTGCCACCTCTACAAGAATTAGT